CGTCGCGTAACTAAAAATACTACAGGCAATGAGAGAGAGAGAGAGAGAGAGAGAGAGAGAGAGAACGAGAGGAAAGTATCGAAGTAGATGGAAAGAGGAGTGGAGCGCTTGCGCGCAGAATAAAATGTCGCGCGAGAGAGCAGTGAAAGTGTCGCTCTTACTTTGAAGCCTACACGTCACGCACACGCCTGCGGACGATACCTGCGCGCATGCACTACTCAGGGTCGACCTTTGTAATACAGGCGCGCGCAGCACCTTTATTTCTCCTCTCCCTCGAGGCTAAATTAGACTCCTCCACGAGAGTCTAATGATTATTCGCTCGACGCAGACTTTCGCTGCGTCCTTCTCTGTGTTTTCATTCGACTTCGATTAATCAACATCTTATGACGTCTTCTTCTTCTCTTTTTTTCCTTTCTTTTTTTTTTCTTTTTTATCGCCGGGTTTGTTTGCCTCTAGTCAAAAGTGAATGTCGCACACGTAACGATGAGCAATATTTGGAAATTCGCGATGTCAGCGCGCGCACACACGGGACGCGTATCAATCAATTCAGCCGCTCGCGATGTTTTGGGAATCGTTAGCGAGCGCGCGCTTTGTACGTGTACTTAAATGTAATCGGGAAGTGCGATTGTTTGCTGAAATGCGAAAGAGAAAACGTACGGGACTCGCGTACGTAAAAGAAAACGAGGGATTATTCACGATCGCGGAAGCTTGCAAAGATAGAAAATAATTTGGGTGAAGCAGAGAAAAAACGACGATCTCGCTTAGTTCTGTAACCTTCGCTTTGCACATTACGAGCTCTCCGAGTAAACATATTTCTGGAGAGATGGGTATAATGCTGCTCGTGAGAGATTTTTCCACGGCGCGGCTATCGCAACCGCTGAATCTCGCGCGATTCCGCGTAACGGCCAGGTGTATACGATATAATCAGCCGTCACTCGTCGAAAAAAAAAAAAAAATAAGAAAAAAACGAAGGCAGGTCGTTCCCGGCAATCTCGAGCGCACAATGGGGCCCGAAAAAGAACGACTCTACGGCGACGCGCGTCGGCGTTGTTTGCAGCCAAATACGGCGAAAGAAGACGCGCGGCGCGGAAGTCGTACGGGGCGTGCGAGCGAGCCGATCACTTCCGTTTTCACTTAGTGGCTGTGTGTGCGTGTGCGCGTGCGTCACGGGGAAGGGCTTCTAATTGACTGGCTCGTATCGAAAGACGAGATGCGCGCGTCTACCTCTTGCATGGCGCTGCATATATAGCGTTACGAAAGGTTGTCGTTCGTGTCAAGGCTTCTCTCGCGATCGGCAATCATCTCTCGACTGCGACTGTCTTTCATGTGTTTGTTTTCTCTCTCTCTCTCTCTCTCTCTCTCTTCTCCATTATTCTTTATTACGCTACGTGGACAGTTTTTGTTGCCGACGCCGTCGCTTTTTCGCGCTCGAGCTCGACAAGGCCGATAAATCGAGGCTGCCGCGGGGTACTGACCAAAACGCTTCATCTAGCTTTGAATTATCACTCGCGACTGGTCGCTTTCGATATTTGGAAAGTCCGCCGTAGAAACCCGACGCGGTGATAATTTCCGAATAAACAGACACGCGACCGAAAGACAATCGAACAATTTTCCCCGCGGGCGCGCGCATAAAAGTATATATATAAAAAAAAAAGAAAAGCCAGGCTACGCGCGCGACAAAGGCCAGGCTGACAACTTTCACAATAGACCTGGCGTCAAATCGGTGGCTGCGCACTCGCATAAATAATCGACCGAAGCCCAGAGTACCTCTATCTCTCTCTCTCTCTCTCCCATTATTATTCGACGCGAGGGATACCCGTGAAGAGAGAGAGAAAGAGAGAGAAAAAAAAAAGAAAGTAGTTTCCCTGCCGCGATCAACTTCCTGTAAAGCAGTAATGCGCGGGCGTGCGGCGAATAATCGAATGATCAATGCTCGTTGACGGATTTCGCGTGTGTTTCGGGGGAAAGTCGCTGCAATGTTTGTCTTTTAGAAAAGCTTTTTCTTTTCGCGAGACACGCACGGTGCGGAACCTCCCCCCACCCGAGTCTCCGCTCTCTAATCGGCCAGCGCGCCCGACCGATTCCCGGCTTCTGCAATTTGGTCGTTATACAACGACCGATAGCCGTCTCAGCCATTGCGTGGCGCTCACTTGGGCCACGCGAGCGCCCGCGCGAGAAGGAACGACTCCGCGGATCACGCTGGAAGCGCGGGGCTTTCGCAATTAGAGCACCGTCGGCGCGCATTCCTCGCGAACGCCAACGAACCTTCGCGCGCTCGAGACTGATCTTCCCTTCCCACTCGCAGGCGGCTTGCGCAAAAGCCGCGCTCGGTTTTTCGGACGACGCCGGCGCAACTCCTTGTCCCTCTTTCTCTCTCTCCGTCTTTGTTTCTTTATTGTTATTGCTCGATCTTCAAGGCGTTTGGCACAGTTATAAGGCCTCGATGAGTCACCCACGGCAGCGCGACGTCGAAGCAATGACACAACCGAAGAACAAGAGCCGAGTCGCGCTCCGCACGCGCGCGCGCGGAGCTTTCGCGATATCGCGTGAGCGCCGGCGATTAGCGCTCGCGTTATCAGACCGCGACCTCTCGGAATCTTCATCCAGATCCGTGCGTGGCTGGGAATTGTCCTCGATCCCCGGTCATGTCCACGCACAGCGAGTTTCTAATGCACGAAAGCTCTCGGCCACTCGGCAGGCAGAAAAACCAGATGGAAATCCGGCACGGAGTGCAGGAGGTGAAAGACGAGAGTCTCGTCGCTGTTGACACTGAAAGCCAACGCGCGCGCGCGCGCGCGCTAGAGAGGAAAGTGCGGGTCGCGCGAAAGTTTAGCGCGGGCATCGGAAGGAAAACGCATCAGCAGCGGTGGCGGCGGCGGCGGCTTTCATGCGGGCGATTAGGTCTCGCGGAGAGCAACGACACGCGCGCTCACACACACGAGCCAGGGCCTTTCTCCGCGGATCGCCAACTTTTACTTTTGCCGCCCGAGGCAGCTTGCATTATACAACCAAGCCGCGCGACAACAACCTGATCCTTCGCGCATCCTTCGCCGTGACTTTAATCTTCCTCGCGCCTCTCTCCCTCTCTCTTTCGCCAACTTCGCCTTTGCATTTAGATGGAAAGTTTCGCTGGCTCTTTAAAATTCTTGCTCCTTTCTCGCGCCGCCTGCAAATCATATGTGTGTACATCTGGACCGAACGGCTTGTTTTGAATCCTCCAAATTTCTGCCACACGCGCGGGCATGCGAATGGGACGAGTCTTGCAATTCGCGATGTTGCAACGCGCTGGTCGCGGTCGTCCGAGTTGAGAATATCGCCCGCGCGCACGTGCGCCAATCGTAAAAGGAGTCTCGCTCTCCCGCCGTCGATGGTGCTTTTTATAGCTTAATCATCGGGCTATTACGCGGCGAGATTACGGCGATCCTCGCGCAGCGGCGCCGCTTGCATAAAACAAGAAAACACGAGGTCGACAGACAGCTGATGTTGCCCCACTTCCCTCGAGCGCCTCGACGCTTACTCTCCTTCGCACTCGCCAGAGTGTCTTCGTTTTCGCTAAGTAGTACCGTGACGGTCGTCGAAAAAAAAAAAAGAAAGAAAATGGCGAGATGATAAATCCGAGGGGGATCCGGCATAACGATTTCGCGCGACCTGCATTTCCTCGAGAGAGCGGCGATTTCTAAATGCCCGTTAGAGCCAAGCTTACAGACCATGTGTATTTACGCCGCATTAATGATTAATTAATGCGGCCGTCCGCGCTTCTTTATCCTTGCTCGTTGGAGAATTCATGGATCGATTCTGTTCCCGTTTTTTTTTTCGCGAGACCAAACTCCAACGGAGCTTCATTCGTATTCGGCGCAAGCTCTTTTATACATACGACCGAGAGAATGTCAATCACCTTTGAGTGTATTAAGGAACCGTGTCAATGGCCATTTTCATTAGGGCCTATTCGCATCACTTTACTTTTAATTTTATCAAGTTAGCCTTAGCGCTTAATCAAACGGACCATGCGTCGAGATTGACAGCAACAATTTGATCTCTGCAGAGACCTTGAGCGATAATTTTTCGCGGGAAACGAGCATTAATTATTAATGTTTCCTTTTTCTTCTTTATTTTTTCTTCAAAGCTTATATATGGAACGTGACGAGTCGCGCATATATAAACAAAGTGTGTTGCTTTTACTTTGCTGTACAAACTTGCCGTACAAGAGAGAGATGAAACATTTTTTTTTCGTCATCAGATGGAAAAAATTTCCGTGCGCGCTATTCTCGGCGTGTGTGAGAAAAATTTGGGTGCATTACGAAATACGGTCAGTCCGCAATAAACTGGAATATTATGTAGAGGCTAATATTTCATTGCTTGGCTCCGCTGCGCGAGAGAGAAAGAGAAAGAGGGAGAGAGAGATAACAGGCGTTTAATTGCTTTCGTGAGAAGCGGCTTATAAGAAACAATTGTTATTCAAGCTCTCTGGCCGATTCTATCGTCCCCGCGCGTGTGCGAGTTTGCGGTGTTTCTTTTCCTTTCGAGTTATTACTATAACATTAATGGGATTCCATCGGCTGCGTGAAGCGGGTCGCGAGGCGCTTGTTTCTCTTTCAATTGAACGCAAAGCATCACGATCGGCGAATGTGAGAAGCGAGGCGAGGCGTTCCCGCGCGGTCGGTCGGGCCAGACGGCGATCTGTCTCGAGGTCGCGATGAAACGCTGGAGGCACCGAGGCGCGATAATCCCGTGCACAGCTGCAATTAGCGGCGACGTCGGCTCCGTAATTTTTGCGCGAAATCCTCCGCTCCTTTTGACTTTCTCGAGCGAGAACTCGCCATAAGTCCACGGAGAAATTGTTTATTAATCGGCGCGCGTGCTTACGCGCAGGACGCAGTCGAGCGTGACCCGAGGACGCGCGCGGCCCGCTGGCAAGTGGCGGGGAGGGCCGCGTCGCGCCGAATTGGACGTGGCGCACCTGAGCCGCGCTGGAAACCGCGTGCGCCCTTTTCCACGCGCGCGGCGCCAAGTCATTCTCCGTGATTGACGACGCGCCTGATACACTTGTCAAGCGTCTTTCCGTCTATTGCCGCCTCCAAATTAAACATCGGGAACGAGGTCGCCTGCTCCGGCGAAATAACGCACCCGTGACGCGGCGAGAAATACCAGAACAGAGAAGCTCGCTGGAGCGCGAAAAGAGAAAAAATATATACCCGTACGTGTGCGCGCGTGTGGGTCGTCGCGCGGCGCGCTCAGCCTAGTTTTCTTTCTTTCCTTGCATTGGGGAGGACGGCTGATTCTGACAGTTCCATTACCGTATCAAAGCTTGACCGGGGGCCGATACACTCGACCACAGCGTTGCGAAGAATTTTTCTCCTTTAATGGATTTTTTCCGAGGGAGCGAGCTGCTCGCCGTCTACAATGCAACGTGCCAAGGCCAAGCGTTTTTCCGTTTTTCGCCGCCGTTCCGCCGGTTAATTAGGCGGAATGGCCTTAGCGCCGATCGACCAGAGAAAGTCACTTTGACGTCAGCCCGAGCGTCGATGGGTTTGTTTCGAGGGCTATTGTACGCTCGCGCGCGAGCTACTTTCTTCTGCGTGCAGGCAATTTTTCGAGCCGCGTGCGCGCGCGCGCGCAGCGTCTAAATATGCAATTGGGCGAGAAAGCGAGCGCAGCGCACGCGAGACGTCGTGCGCATTTCATATTCGCGGACAATGAGGGAAACGATGGAAAAACCAATCGGACTGGTCGGCTTTGTTAAATCGATTTTCTAATGATACGTAGAAGAGCGGCGCAAGGTCTAGCGCGGGTAAGAGCCACTTTTGCGACGAGACGAAGACAGTTCGATAAGATTCGTCACAGCTGGGTCTATTACTCTCGTTGACTCGCGGCTCCCTCCTGCATTTCGCTCCAATTGTCGGCTGGGCTCGTGCGAGGGATTGCGCACGAGCTGGAAAATGTGCGCCGAGCGAGCGAGTTGTCGCAACGTTATCCGCGCACGCGACTCACGCGCGACGCGCAGCTCGCAACGACGTCGCCACCAATTAAAAGAGAGCGGACACTATTGCGATTGCGAGCGCGCGTCCCCTTTTCGCGCCTGCGACGCTTACGGTGTTGTACACCGGCCGGCCCGGTAGACATTGCCGCCATGTCGAGGCCGCGGTTCGCGACCCGCCGTCATTCGTCGAGCGATTTTCCAAAGCTCGATCGCGTCGAGTGACAGCCAATCGTTCGTCGTCCATTTGGTCAAGGTGCAACTGATAAATAATGCAGAGCGCGAGCGGCGGGATATCCATTGCGCCCGTGGAAAGAGCAGAAAGCGATCTCGCGACGGATTTTTGAGCGCGGTGACGACGCGCCTCTTTCCCATGCCCGGCGCAACGAACGCGCTTTCTTCTTCGTTTCCACTATGAAAACTTGGAAGCTCGCGCTCGATCGGCGACCGCTCGCCGCCTCGATCTCTCACGCCCGTTTCTGCGCGGCAACTTTCTCCTCTCGCGACGCACCAAAAAGAAAAGAAAGAGATGGAAAAAGCAGCGGCGGTTTTGCGCGGAAAGTGACCGGCGCGCCGCCGGTCCATTATCACGTGGGCGGAAAAGTTTTTTTCTTTTCGCTCGGGACCGATCGACGACGCGCGCCTCGTATCTCTCAAACGTTATCGCCTCCGCCCCGCACACACGCGTAACTGGGACATTAGCGTTGCGCCAGCCGCGGCCGTACTATGCGCGCGCTCCGCTCCGATCATTGTACGCTCAGCGAGCATTTTACGCGCGAGAGGCGGGCGTTCGTTTCAAGGCCTCGAACCGCATAGCTTGTCCGAACTTGCGCAAATTCGTGTCTCGTTAAGAACCGATATCTCGAGGCGAACGCTGCGATATCGGAAATAAACAAAACGAAAAAGACAAGAAACAAACGACAATAAAAGGTGGGACTCCATTTGGCTCTCGAACGGATCGTTGCGTGCGATTACAAGGCTCTTAGCGCCGTGTAATCGCGCGGACGAAGAGCGAGAGCGGGTTCTCGTCCGCGTCACAGTTCGTGGTCGATCGAATTTTACGTATTTAGCGATTAGGAGTCACAGTACAAGCGACTATTTGAAAGAAAAAGTGACTTCATTACCTCTCGCATAAGAGCGTTTACAAAGTCGAAGGACACTCGCTCGCAAGACTCTTCTCAGAAGCATTTTCTCTCTTTCTCTCTCTCTCTCTCTCTCTCTCTCTCTCTCTCTCTCTCTCTCTCGGAAATGACGCTGCGTTATTTCTGCTGGAAGAGGAAAGAAAGTCGTCTCTAACGAATAGAATGCCCAAGTAGGTCCTCCAGAGTAACGAACGAACGGTCAGCCGTGAACAGGAGGGAAATTAAGGCATCGAGGCGGCTGGTTCGCCGCAATAATGTGACACTCGCTTCGCGATTGGGATTCGTCGAGTGCCTCCCCGAGAGAAATGGATAGTGGGCGTGTGCGTGTCAGTCAGTGACGAGCAGCGTGCGTGCGTGCGCGCACGCGCGCGATAACAGTGCGACCCAGCGAAAGACGCGATGTTCGGCGCTACAATGGTGGAGCCGCAGCACTGCAGCTCGGCCAGCTCATCCTCGTCCTCGCAGTCGTCCCAGCTGCACAACGGCAGCCGTCACCACCATCACCACCATCACCAGCACTACAGGCACCAGGTGATCAAGACCACGCGAGTGCATCAGAGCACTCGCACTACCAGGCACGTGGTCACCGTGCAAGAAAAGGTGGTCAGGTCGAGATTGCAGCTCGGATACTCAACGCCGACCAACTTCATCAATCGGTACCTCCAGCTTTTACTTTTCTTTGGCCGAGTTTGTCCCCGCGGAAGCGTGCCGCACGATCGGCCAAGTGATCTCGTCGATCGTTCCTTCGACGACTTGTCAGTGTCGCTCGCGCGAGAGCTCAATCTCCACGCCTCGCGATTGGATTGTCATCTCAAGGTCGCGACAGCCGAGAGATGCAGCGTCGATCACTCGAGGGTGCGATCATGAAAATTGCCGATTGGACGCAAGACGCGTTCGGCGGTAACTCGTCTTGATTCGACAACCGTCGTCGCCGTCAGAGGCGTGCGCACGCGAGGACGTCGAGAGAGCCCTCCCTTGAAAAAACGAGCCCCCCTTGCCACTCTTACGTCGCAACAGCGTTCTTACGACGTAATGATCTGCCTTGCGCGGAGATAGGAGTATACTCGTTGCGCCGAGCCATCAGGCGCAGCGCTCGACTCGATTGAAATTTTAAAAGTCAGCCGCGGCGCTTTTTTCAGCTAGAGCGAGAGCACGAGAGAACAAATTGCATCGTATGGCGCCGCTGAGCTGACGAGTTCGCGTGTAAAACGTCCGGGGCTTTGAGGCGCTGACAGCTTGACGAAAAGCCTACGTAAAGCGGCTCGTCGTTAAATGGCCAGTCGAGGCCGTACCGACTAAACTAGGTCGCGAACGTTTATTAACCGGCAGCCGGCTTTTCGCGCGTGAAACTTGTTTGGCGTCCATTAGCGCGCCTTCCTCGAAAGTTCCTCTCGCGACCGTGTCTACTTCGTACGGAGCGCCTCGACGAGGAGAGCTCGCCGGCGTGACGCGGTGACGCTGTGACGCGGAACCATGCGCGGGGCTCGCTGGAAGCGCGAACGCGCGCGTCGGAGGAGGAAATGGATCCGATAAAGAAGGAGGAAAAGAAGGGAAATAGAAGAAGACGGAGCGAGAGCGCCGAAGGCTGCAGAACCGCTGAGTAACGGGGCGGTGCGCTACGGCGGCAGACAAGGCGGGAGAGAGAACTCGCACGCCTCGGCATCTCGTGCGTGCAACGCGCGAACGTCGGGCGTTGCGTAATGCGGCGCGCGCGCGCCTTTCCTATCTATATATAGCCAGACGTTTGCCGACGCACAGCGTACCTACTCCGACTTTCCCAAAATCGGAGGCGCGGGCGCGCAACTTCCGGCCGACGGATGCGAGCGATATGCGCGCCTCTCGCGCCTGCGCGAACGACCGTCGCTGGTCGCGAGCGAACGGCGCGAGTACCCGGGGTCGTCGACGAACTCCCGACAAGTTTCGCGAGCGTGAAAAGACGAAGCTCGGCACGTCTGTTAATTAGCGTTCGTTAATTGCCCCGCCGACGATCGTCGGCTCCCGGGTGTCGGTGCCGAATTCGGCGCGCGCGCGGTCTCGACTCGTTCAGCGCGATGCCGTTACTTCGCAGGGATGAAGCGGCCATTAACGCTCGGCTGTAGCTCGATTCGTTGCTATGATAACCGGAAGCGCGAGCGCGCGGCGCTGCGCTATTACGCCGTCCGACCCTCCTCTCCCGCACACGACTAATTAATCCTGCGCGTGTAACGACTCCTTCCTTTCGCGCTTCGACAAAAGCACACGGAGCATCCGAGCCTTCGAGATTACTCGAACGTTCTCGGGATCCGTCGGACTCGCAACTTCGCTTAAAATCGTATTTTGTAAAGTGACCCCGTTGGCGACGACTGTCTTAAGTGCGCCGAAGTGACTCGCGAGAGAGAGAGTTACTCGTCGGTCAAATGACGTCTTTATCGGAGCGTCGGGTCCCCAACTTTGCCGTAAATCACCAGAAACGACGTCGTCGGGCATTGCCACTCTGGAAATTAGTCTCGTTAATGAGCGCGCCCGTGCACTTTTTCTATGCTCTTTCGCAACGCGTGCTTAGCTGGGCGCGCGACCGATCGTTCGGAAGGCGTAACGGTCGGCTCGTTCTATCGGATCGTCATAATTTTTTTCGTTCGCGCGGAAACTATGTCAATATTCCGGGTCCTTCTGGCCGGCCTGTTAGCGCTCGTTAATGACGTTGCGCCGCGGCGGCGTCGACCGGTTTTTACATATCGCATGCCTACGCCCGGCAGCTTTAACGTTCGCCCGACCGGGTAATGGCCTAGCCATTACGCCGTCTTCGCGAAAGTCGAGGACACATTTGCGAGCTTTCGCGCGCCTACCGTACCGATCGAGCGCAAGTGAATACAAGTCTATCGGCTGATTCGACTTGGGTTATTGTCGATGCGTACGAGTGACTCAGTACGTGGTAGCAGCCAAGGTAATGATCAGTGATCCGTTCGGAAAGAAAAGAAAAAGATTCAGATAGAGAGAGAGAGAGAGAGAGAGAGAGAGGAAAAACCTCTGGAGTGACAGCAGTAGTCTTCTCTGTCGAGACGCCGGCAGAGCCACTCGAAAGATTGCAGCCGCTGCGCGCCGTCGCATCAGCTGCCACTTGGACACGCGCCAGCGAGGTCTTTTCTCTTTCCTTCTTTCGTACACGCGTGTCCACGTTGCGCTCTTCCCCGACGATAGGGCACACGCCCATAGCCATCGTGGATATTGATGACGGTCCGCAGTACGGGCCGAGGGGGCACCTGCGCGCTCCGCCCGCCTCTCTCAAAAATCCGAGCGATCGCAATCGCGCGGCGAAGGAGAGGACGAGATTCGCGTAGCGGCAAGCTGCGTTCGACTCGTGCCCGCTGCCCGCTGCCCGCTGCCCGCGTGCGGCCATCCAATATGCGAGACGTGCGCGCGCGCGCGCCGGCCAGGTGCCAGGCGCGTGCCGCCGCGCGCGCGCTTCGCCCGGCAGATGCGTTTCTTCTTCTTCTGCTTCGGACGTGGAATCACGACGCGTGCAGGTGTTCACGCAGGACGATGGGGGTTTTCGTTGTTTCCGCCACGAAAGAGGGCTGGAGTTTTCATGTTGTCCACGTACTCGTAGCTTCGAGAGGAAATGCTTACTTCCTTCCTTGTTCTAGTGTGTTACTTGTATTATTGTTCTTTTGTATTCTGAGGTGTAGGTATACGATGCCTGTGCTATAGGTAGGAAAATAACGAGTTTTTTATGCCCCGGGACGTCGACGACAATGCATACTCCTTTTCGTGAAAAGGGCTCTCGGAGACGAAAATTCTATTGAAAATGAAGTGGAGTGAAAGAAAATCCGATCCCTCTCTCTGTCTCTTCCTGCCTTTAGATAAAATAATTCAATAGGGAAAATGCATTTTTTTTCTATTCGCTTGCTCGATTTTTTTTCAAAAGGAAGAGAAAAAAATGTTTTCGCACTGGCAGTCGAAGAAGAGAGAGAAAGAGAAAGAGAAATGATTGACGTTCTTAGTGCGATGTACGTACGAATAGGGATCCTCGTTTGAAACGGGTTAGCCGTCGCCTTCGTAAAATGAATCAGGTCAATTCAATAGTGAAACGCCCGACGAGTGGCTAGGGCGCCGTGACTTACAATGCACATCTTCGAAAATCGTCAATGCCTATTCGTGTCGCGCACACTTTGTTGCTGCTGCTGCTTCCACTTGCAGTTCTACGTCGAGAAAGAGAACGGGAGACAGAGAGAGTTACAAATCCACTGTCGCAAAAATGATATGTCATAAAGTGCAGGACAAAGACGAGCACAATGAGCGTCGATCGAAAGTGTACGGCAAACGTGCATCTCGGCGAAACGTCTTTGACGAATAAGTACGAGGGCAGCAGAGCGAGGGAGGCTAAAACAAACTGCCCAACCCTTTGTCGAAAACATCCTGCTCCGCCGCCGCGGAGAAGCCGCTGTTGTCGAGGGCGAGCAACGCCCCCCTCTTTCCGCCCCTGCGCGGCTCGCCGGGTGAACAAACGGAAGGTGACTACCCCGATTCTATTCATTGAAATCTCTAGACGATCGCTCCTCGATGTTAGTAGCGCATATACCTGCCGACGCTGCCGTTCAGCCAAATGAGAGAGAGGGAAGCTGTTCCGCTTTGCCCCGCCAGAGCCCCGACGCGCTCGTAAACGTCTCCTCGCCGTAGTTTTATCGCAGTAGGTGCACAAGGCGCCGAGGGTAATCGCGCGGCCGCGACAGAGCATTCAGGGCATCCCGAGCGGCGACGACAGGTGGCCGCGCGAGGAAGGAAGCCGCGCCACGCGCGCGCTCATTAAAAGCGGAACAAGTGCGCGCGGCCGTGCCTCCGACCAACTGGCAGAAGCCAGCGTAGCGCGCTGCCCCGCCCCCCCTCTCCCCGAGCCGTGCGCGCCCTGCCAAGGATGAATCCTCTTCCTTATGGGCCGCGCTCTCCTCGGCTCGGCGCAGCTGGCGCGCAGCCAGTCCTCCGCCTGCGCTCGGCGAGCCAGCACCTCTCTGTCAAGCGCGACTCTTCCCACTCGTCGACAGCCCGGCTCGAGTGCCCGCGGGACGAACACCAGTGGCAGGATCCGCGCGCACACTTGCCGTTGGCTGACTCCGCGTCTCGCGGCGGGCAGCCCGGCTGGTCCTTGGCGAACGGTGCCGCGTGCAGCCTGGCGTCTAGTGTGCGGAATTTTCAGCCGAAGCGAGCGCCATGATTATCTTCGTATCCGGATTTTTAGTGGGGTACGTCGAGCGTGACTGCATTTTCTTTCCTCTCTTCTTTGCGCGGCGCCGGTACGTACACGACGCGGGGTGGCGACTCAGGTGTGTCTGTGTGCGTGCGTGTGCGCTCGGCGCTGCGCGACCGTATCCACGTGCGTACGTGCATTCGTTTCTGCCCGTCGTCGCTCCGCGCCTCGGCCAATGATTATCGAGAAACGCGCGGGCGGGCGCGTAATGACAGGCGACGCGGCGCAACGTCGCGTTACCCCGTGTATCGCCTTCGCCGGCAATTGAATCGTAATTAGCGGTGCGTTAAGCCCGACGCAACTCGGACGATTGGATTACTCACGTGTGACACGCCACGCGCAGTCAGGCGTGCGATCGAGTTGACGCACGATTTGCGCGAGGCTCGATCGTAGAATCGGTCTTTCAATGCCGTTCGCACGAGGCGCAACGACTCGCGATATATTTTTGCGCGATCCGCGTGGGAGAAAATGCAGCCAAGCCCGTTCCACGGCGCCAAGTGGCTGACAATGAGCACCGCGACATCGCGAATTCTTTCGAGGACGCTCGTGACAATCGTGCAGCCGGATACAACGAGTCGCCGAAGTCGACAGATCGCCCCGTGAGGATAGCGGCGGATCGTCGTGCAACCGAAAGCTACGTCATCTCGACATTCCCTTGGGGACCCGCCTTTATCACGAAAATTAACATTTATCAGTGGTCATTCCGTGATTAGGCCTCCGACCTCCATTCTCCCACAATCGCGGGCGAATAAAGGGGTTGCACACGGCGCTGGTGATTCACTCGCGCTCATGGAATATCGATGCACCGCGCTCGCGGCGAGCACCTGGCGCGTGGCAGCTGCCGGCTGCACGCGCCACTCGCCTCCTCCTCCTCCTCCTCCTCCGCCTCCCGTTTTCGTTTCGTTCTTTCGGGCCTGCCGGCCTGCATCTTTCATGATCCCGGCACCACATTGCTCGAGATTCTTCCCCCGGCGACCGCACCGGCGGGCTTCGTTTGATGCTTATCGCTCGGCACTCTCTTTCCAGATACCACGTGTCTCGCTTCCGCTCTGTTGGCCGAGAATTTTCGGAGCCACCTGTGCGGCTCTTTGCGTTCGCGGTCCACGCGCGCTCGTTTCGTCCGCTTGGACGAACGTTGCACGCGCGAAGGCCCCGATAAATCTTTCCCGTCGCTTCCTCGCTCTCTCGCCCCTTCTTTTCCTTTTTCATGCGAACGAACGCAGATTCTTCACGACTCCGTCGGGAGCAAGCGGAAATTGCTGCTCGTGGGACGGATATCAACGACGCCAGCTGCCTCCCTAACGCGGACGACAATGTACGCGCTGCGAGACAGAAATTGCGTGCCTGTGTCAAACGCAAGAGGGCAGCGGCGAGCGCAGGTCGCTTGTCTTTCGCGATGCGATCGAAGCGGAGTGAACAGCTCGTACCCGCTACAACCCGATTGCGGATACAAATTATCGGTCACTTATCTCTATGTCGCTGCGCGCTGAACGGACTTTCACTTTCCGCTGGCTGCGGCGGCGTATAAGATTTCGCAAAGCAGGCACGACAAGTGCGGCGCGCGCACGTGTCGCTGTTGTGCTGCGTGTGCCCAACGCTGCGGGGAACGATAGGTAACACCCGGCCCCGTACGCGGGGCTGTGTGGCGGGCGTTCGAATCCCCAGCAGCTGACGGGCGTAAGAAACGATGCGCATCGATCCTCCCGAGTGGGTCTATTTTTACGCCGCACGGCGGCGCTCGAATTTTCAACGAGGATGAGCTGCGCTGCAACGAGCCCCCGATAGTTTGGCCAAGCGATCGATCGACTAACGAGCGATTAATCTTGTTTGTCGACAGCTTCCCGCAGAAAATGGACAGGCTGGGTGCGCCGTCGAAGAGCAGCGTGGGCAACGGTAGCATCTACAGCAGCGGCGGCGGCGGCGGTCAGCCGGCGCTTTCGTCCTCTTACATGACCGGCCAGTACATGTACAGCCAGAATTACGCGCAGTATCCGGGGCCGGGCGCCCAGTACCTGCACCAGCCGAGCTACGCCCAGCCGCAGAGCTACGGCGCCGTGGTCCAGGGCTACGGCGGCCAGACCATGGCCTCGTCGGCCCATGCCTATCCGCACAAGAAAGCCTCGGTGCGCAACGGCGACGTGATGAAGAGGTGCCGGCTGCAGGCCGCGTGAGTACACGCTTTTCCGTATCTCCGCTTGTTGTCGCGTCTAGGCGCGGACACCTCGTCAATTTCGCCTTCTCTCTCTCTCTCTCTTTCTTTCTCTTGACTGCGCGCACCGCGCTCGGCAAATGAATAATGCGCTCGTTAATTAACGCTCGCTCGCGCGAGCTCCGGACGAAAATAAAAATAAACCACGCAAGTGAGTTGCACGCGCGTGACTCATAGCGAGCGCGTGGTTCTTTTTTATTTTTTTTTTTTCTATTTTATTTTTTTTTTTATTTCTCTTTTCTTTCCTGTCATCTGGCGCTCGTTTTGCAAAACAGCGCAGCAGTAAAGAGCGCGCGTGCAGCGTGCGAGCGCTCGCGCGGAGTCGGAGCGACTCCGACCCTGAGACAATTTAGGTGGCTACTGTTACTCGAGCGAGCCGATCAACATTTTGCGCAACGACATTTCTCCTCGGGGAGCTGATAGAGCGGCGTTGCGATTAGCATTACGTAAAAGACGATCGCCGGTCACACGGCATAGGCCGTCGCGAAAGATTATTTTTGCATAATGACAATTGACCCGCGCGCGGCTCGAAGCCTCGCGCCAAGTCTCCTTGGGGCGTGAGTCACGAGAAACTTGTATAAAATTCATAATGACGCCGCGCGTAGCGAATGCGCAACGTCGGCTTTCTGCATTTCAACGTTAACGACGACAATGCCTCGTTATTCGCGTTATCACGCAGGTACGAGTTGTCGCAGGATCTGCTAGACAAGCAGATCGAGATGCTGGAGCGCAAGTACGGCGGCGTGAAGGCGCGCAACGCGGCGCTGACGATACAGAGAGCCTTCCGACGCTACACTCTGCTGAAAAAGTTCGCCGCGATCACGGCCATGGCCAAAGCGGAAAAGCGACTGGGTCGCAAGCCACCGGAGGAAACCGAACGTCAGCAACATCATCAGCAGCAGCAGCATCAGCACCATCACCATCAGCAGCAGCACCAGCACCAGCACCAGCAGCAACAGCAACACCACCACCACCACCATCACCATCAAGATCAACGACTGGCGTACCATCAGAATCAGGTGTACGTGCATCATCAGCAGTCGTCGCCGGTCAATCGGCCGACGCCGATTCGCAGCATGTCGCTGCGCGAGAGGCGTCACGGCGCGACGGTCGTCGTGGACGGCGGTGCCCACGGATGCGCGTCGCCGATGCCTCGCAGTCAGAGCTCGAGATGCGAGATTCAGATCAACGCCCAACACCCGGTCAGTTGGCCGAGCCACCGTAATTTCGCATCGACGGACAACAATCGATAAATAATAACTAATCGTCCTTCGTTCGCGATTGCAGAATCAGATCACGAACCACGCGCTGGCGGCTCACCAGCTGGTGAATCATTCCGGCGCGGGCAGACACACTCCGACCCTGACGCCGAGTCCTTGCGGTAGGCAACAGCAACAACAGCAGCAGCAACCGCCGTCCAGTCCCTGTTGGGAATCCAGTTCTCAGGAAAGCGGCGGTTCTAGTATTCATTATTACAATCCTCAGGTACGTTTTACCCTCGTTACTGTGAATGTCCAACTATCCTTTTCTGTGGCTTCCTCGTTTATCGCTACCGGCCAGCCATTAGCTTTTTGACCCTCTGTCAAAATATATTGGGTCATTTGGAGGACAACGTCGTTTGCCTAAATTGACCCGACGACGAATCCCTCTTCTCTTATTTTATTTTCTGACGTCTAGGGACCGCTTTTGCCGAATCGCTCCTACAAACGGACGTACACTCGGCGGACGGAAGTAATTTTTGTCGGTCGCCGACAAACGGAACGCGAGTTGCTGAAAGTCTATTTGCGTACTTAGGAGCGATCAGTTTGATACCAGAAAAATTAGACCGGCCGTCACGAAAAAAGAATAAAAAGAATAATATACAAGTTTTTTGCCCGTAAAGTGTTATTAGATCATTGATGAATCGAATGATGTATACGTTTCTCTTGAACACAGCAAAAATCATTGTTCTAATCCGCAATCGTTACAATCAACAGGAAGCGCTGTGCGGCCTTCGCCAAGACACACCACCGCGCGACACGCACCGCGTAACGCCGTGCACATCGCCATGCACACCATTGAATCTGCAGTCGCAGATGCAGCAGCAGCAGAACTGGTCGAGCAGCGCGTCACAGCTGAGTACGTCGAGCGGCAGATCAATCGGCCGAGCGTCCACGGGTTCTTGCAGCAAGAAAGTGCCGCCGGAGGTACCGAAGCGCACCTCCTCCATCAATTCGCGTTCCGGAGAGCCGAGGCACAACGGCCTCAGCAAAAGCGTCGAGAACGGAAGTCTCAGCTCGGTGCAGAGCTCCGGCAGTGACTCCACCAATTGCGAGAGCTCAGAAGGTGATGCGCAGCGAGGCTCGCCGGTCTGGAAACACAAGGGAATGGTGAGTAGGCAATCGTTATTCGCTCGGTATTTCTCGTCGGCGGGGCATCCAAATTAATCTTCCGCGTTGCCCGCATTGCAGTCGAGTTCGCCGGAACACCCGGAGATGGTGCACGCAAATGACAGCGGCTCTATCTTGAACAGCGTGAAAGACATGAACCACTCGCACGCAGCCTCGACTTATCAACTGCCCATGATGGATCACGCCGAAAGCATATCGCAGACGAGCTACAAGGTTTCAGAGACGGTGCGCAAGCGCCAATATCGCGTCGGTCTGAACTTGTTCAACAAGAAGCCCGAACGAGGCATCAACTACCTCATTCGCCGAGGCTTTCTCGAGAATTCGCCCCAAGGCGTGGCGCGTTTCCTCATCAGTCGCAAGGGCTTATCCAAGCAAATGATTGGCGAGTACCTTGGCAATCTGCAGAACCCTTTCAATATGGCTGTACTCGAGTGCTTCTCCCACGAGCTCGACTTGGCTGGTATGCAGGTGGACGTGGCACTGAGAAAGTTCCAAGCCTACTTCCGTATGCCAGGCGAGGCACAAAAAATCGAGCGACTGATGGAGGTGTTCAGTCAGCGATACTGCCAGTGCAACCCTGATGTGATCGCGAGACTACGCTCGCCCGATACCGTCTTCGTACTCGCGTTCGCCATCATCATGCTCAATACTGATCTACACACACCGAATCTCAAACCTGAGCGTCGAATGAGGATCGAAGATTTTATCAAGAACTTGCGAGGAATCGATGACTGCGGCGACATCGACAAAGACATGCTTGTCGGCATTTACGAGAGAGTTAAGGCGAATGAATTCAAACCCGGTTCCGATCACGTGACGCAGGTGATGAAAGTGCAAGCCACGATAGTTGGGAAAAAGCCCAACATGGCTCTACCGCATCGTCGATTAGTTTGCTACTGTCGACTCTACGAGATACCCGACATTACTAAAAAGGAGAGACCCGGAGTCCATCAGAGAGAAGTTTTTCTGTTTAACGACCTACTCGTCGTCACGAAAATACTGAGCAAGAAGAAAAGCAGCGTTACATATACCTTCAGGCAAAGTTTTCCACTGTGTGGAATGGTTGTCACGCTCTTTGAAGTTTCCCGTGAGTATAACTATCTCGATAAATCCTATCAAATTAAATTGATCATTTATTAAAATATCATGTGCTGTATAGATTATCCATACGGTATACGACTCTCGCAGCGTGTCGACAATAAAATACTAGTCACATTCAACGCGCGCAACGAGCACGATCGCTGCAAATTCGTGGAGGACTTGAGGGAGTCGATTAGCGAGATGGATGAGATGGAGACGCTCAGAATAGAGACCGAACTGGAAAGACAAAAGAGTAGCCGTGGAGCGCGCAGCAGTGCCGAGAATCGTGATTCCGGTGTAGCGGACGTCGAAGTCTGCCCTTGTCCCGGTCCCTGCTCCGAAAGATCCGAAGCGGTAGACATAGACTCGCAGCTCAAGCGATCAGCCTTGAGCAACTCTCTACTCGACATACATGAACAATGTAAAAGAAATTTCTTCAGAATTTCGAAACATTTGCAGCAATACCGAATACAAGTAACAATTCTGTTTTATATTTTACAGTTGCTGGCGAGAAACCACAACGGCGTGGCAGTGTCGGCTCTTTAGACAGTGGTATGTCAATTTCCTTTCAATCGACTTCCGCCAGCTCGATGAGCCAAGGCGTGAAGGTGGCGGTAGCGGCGGCGGGAGGACATCAAGTCCTCGTGCACCAAGGCGCCACGATTCCTAGTTGTGCCAAGGGTACGAATATGGCTCAGCAGCCTTCTTTTTTAGGAAATCTCTTCAACAAGCGCGAGCGTAAGCTTTCACACTCGGAAGATTCGGTGACTATGAACTCGGCCACTGCAGCGGTTCAGGTTCCGTATGGACGCACTACGGAAGTGTAAAAAATCTGCTCTGTCCTTTCCTATCATCTGCCAACTCTTCTGCGTTTATCCTACTTCGGGTGTCGCGTTCTGTACATTTTCTTTTTCATTTTGCTCGCCATGGCAGATTCAGAGTTCTGAAGGAAATAATCGCTGTGAATATTTATCAGGCTATTTCTCGCGCGTGCAAGATAGAGCAATCATTTCTAGTCATAATTGTTATCAGCATCCTCATCTTGCGCGACTTGTCTCATACTTATTATTCTATAATTTACTTTTTTGGTTTTTTTTTTCAAACACTTTCATGACCACTCGTCATTATTCTCTTACAATACTTTAATATATTACGTATGAACTTAAAGTAGTAGGAAAGGTGGAATAACGATACGAGAGATTGTAATGATCTGGCGGGATCCGATCATTTTCTTTCTTCGATTGTACATTTTGCATTAAGTTTTGTTCCTTGTGATGTTTTTTTCTTTTCAGTTTATGTCCGTTTATTGTCTTTTGTGAAACTATGTAAATTATTTATGCATGTACTGAAAGTTCGAGCATTTTTGCACGTTATTTATATATAAATCTAAATGAACATGAGAATATAACATTCGAAGCAATTTTAATAATAAAAGAATGTGAAACAATACATTTATAAGTAATAAATTTGTGAAGGGGAAGCTAACACCCCTTCAAAGATCACAGCGAATTGTCACTAGTTAGCTAAAAATTAGGTTAAGACTAGTTATTACAATTGTACATAATAAATTAAACGAAGAAGTGGTATGGCGCATGGTTTATATTGTGTATAATAAAAGTATGGTAATCAAAGTGAGAAACAAACTGTAAAGCGATCGATAAACATCACATTAATAATAATAGACTTCGGAGTTGTCAACTCCGTAACTTTCCGTCTTCAGACGTAAGCTGTTCGAGTCACTGCGTTTAATACAGTATTATGTATAGGGAACGTCTAAAATATCTCGTTATTTATGGACCATTAATTTTTTTCTTTTTTTTGTAATTTCGTAGAATTTGAGAAGGTAATAGATTTAGACATTGTAAGTTGAACCTGCTTTACAGAATGAGCCTACTTATTTATTAAGACTCAACAGCATGTGTTACAACTGGAATTGTCTACGATGCATATCTCACAGTGGCAGAAAAGCGCAGGCGCTTTAACATTAGATTTGTCAACAGCAATTGAGTGAAATTAAATGCAAAGTTGTCTGCATGTTATCTAGAAAGTCTCTGCCGTGAAATAAGTATCATGTATGACGTATCTACAGCATGTAATTCAAAACCGATTGTTTTGAATTGTAACGAGATTTCATTGTATTGTACATATAACTCATTGTAATACAAAATAATTCAAAACAATAAAACTGAAATACTTAAGAAACATGCTTTTTTACTTGATAACAAAATCTAATAATAGAAATTAATACATTTTCAAGTATGTTCAACCACCAAACGCTACTTGAGAAAGCGCACTATTGAATGACTTGCGTCAAGTTCGCAATATCTAGTTTAATTTCAATATTGTCAATGCCTAAAAATATTAATCAGTAATTCGGCCACTACAATATAATTGTGAGCGCCCTGTAAAGAAATCATGGCATTGCGATATTGAATCTATAGTATAGTGAGAAATACGCATAAATGATACCTGAAAACAAAAGCAAAAATCCTAGTTAGTGTGAAAAATTAATATGAAGTTATCTTTCGAATTGTTAATTTGTCAGATCATTTATTGATTCAATTATATCACGGAAAATCAGTTATTCGCTACTTTTGTTATGCGTTGGAGATTACTTAACCATTTGCTAAACGAGAATATTGATGCGATCTTTACGATAATATTAGTGACTGTTAAGACACTAATAGATATAGCCGACTATTGAGTCGAGGTTAAAATAAATTTGATTTGATATTGGAGATAAATCGATGTCAGCAGGTTCGAAGGATATAAGATAGCACGAGGCCATCAGAATTATTCACATCAGATATGTTAGAACCTCGGTGATCGTGATTGAATAACTATGAGCAAACGAAGCTATTTATTAGCAATCCATGCATTTATGATAGTACCCATTTCATTTGACGAACTTGATGCAAAAGTCAAGAGGCCCACTAGGCTTAATGGTAGCTGCATCTTCGTATCTGAATATTACCTGGTGATGTATCTTCTTACACTCGCCCAGCGCTAACGACCAGCACTGGATGCTTAACCACTTTTATTATATCAACGATCACTTTAAACTGTGGCAAAATCAATTTCTCGCGTTCTCTGAAATCAGACGTTATATTTTTCATGAAGAATGCCATAGTAGCTATTTGACGATATACTTTTTTCACATGAGAAACAGTGCAAGAAATAATAATTGATTGAGTATTGTTTCTTCAAAATGCAAGATCATCGGTCATGATTAGTCCTGGTTGATTCATTGGTAACGTTCCTTCAAGTGATTTTGATCTTTGTGTATGATTGATATTTTCTAGCATCAAAAATAACCATAAGTTGGCATTGAGCAAGTTCCAACATAATACTAACGTAATAAACATCATTATATGCAAATAGCAGCGTTATCAAGAAGCACAATTACGAATTAAATTAGTTTTAGCGGCAAAATTTTTGAAAACAAACTTGCAAGAATACATAATATATATAGAAACTCATTTTTAGAAGAATATTATTACTCACAGTATAACATACATATATGTGTAAAAAAAATAAAAAATACACCAAATTTTAAGTAATCTGACAAAATTTATTTCGATATTCAAAGTACAATTAATACACGTGCATGTCACCATCGAAGCTACAATTATAACTACATTTATTCTTCTCTATCATTGAAAATAATGTCTTCTAGAACGTTTTATTCTTTACTTATAATAAAGTGTTATGATAATTAGCCCTCTCTAAACTTTCGATGATGTCTAAGTGATGGCCAAAATCCATCAAAGTTATGTACATTATAATTAGGTTCTGCAGCGTATTCACTAATTGGCATTGGGGTTGGAGAGAATGTTTCAACGGGTTCACTCATATATAAATCACTTGGACTGACGTTCAAAATGATTTCATCCAAGGGTTGTCCACTAGATTCAAAATTTTCTGCCGGTTCGCTTACTGCCGTCCAAAATTCACTAAAGTTATGTACTTCATAATTGGGATCTGGAGTATACCCACTAATTGGTATCGGAATTAGAGAGAATTTTTCAACGGGTTCACTCACATTCAAATCACTTAGATTTACGTTTTCAACAATTCCATCGAAGTATTGTTCACTAGATTTCAATTTTCCACCTGGTTCGCTTAGTGATGGCCAAAATCTACCAACCTTATTTACATTATAATTGGATTCTGCAGCGTATCCATTAATTGACATCGGGATTCGAAGGAATATTTCAGGGGGTATACTTATAGGTACATCACTTGGAACAATGTTTAAAACGATACCATCCAAGGATTGTCCACTAGATTCTACAATTTCAGGTGATTCGTTTATCAGCAGATTATTTTCACCCGAGGACTCATTAGAATTGGATTCTACACCGATACCGCTAAGAAATATTTCACCTTGAGGAAATTGTTCATCGGATTCACTCATAGATTTTTCGCTTGAACTGACGTTTACATCGAGGATTCGTCTTATAAATATGAATTTTTCAGCTGATTCCCTTATCGGCAGATAACTTTCACTCGAGGACTCATTAGAATTGGACTGTCCACCGATACCACTAAGAAATATTTCACCTGAAGTGAATGGTTCAGCGACTTCATTCCCAGATTCTTCACCTGAACTGACTTTTCCATTGAGGTGATGTCTTATTAATACAAATTTTCCAGCTGATTCCCTTATCGGCAGATAACTTTCACTCGAGGACTCATTAGAATTGGACTGTCCACCGATACCACTAAGAAATATTTCACCTGAAGTGAATGGTTCAGCAACTTCATTCACAGATTCTTCACCTGAACTGACTTTTCCATTGAGGTGATGTCTTATTAATACGAATTTTCTAGGTGATTCATTTATCGACTGATAAATTTCACTCGAGGACTCATTGGAATTGGACTGTCCACCGATACCACTAAGAAATATTTCACCTGAAATGAATGGTTCAGCAACTTCATTCACAGATTCTTCACCTGAACTGACTTTTCCATTGAGGTGATGTCTTATTAATACGAATTTTCCAGGTGATTCATTTATCGACTGATAAATTTCACTTGAGGGCTCATTATAATTGGATACTACACCGACACCACTCGCAAAGGTTTCATTTGAATTGAATTGTTCAGCGGGTTGACTGATAAGTTCTTTATTTGAAATGACGTTTCCATCGAAGGGTTGTCTCATCAATACGTATTGTCCAGCTGATTCACTTATCGGCTGATTAATTTCATTCGACGTTTCATTAGAATTGGATTCTACACCGATATTACTCAGAGAAATTTCATTTGAATTGAACTGTTCAGCGGGTTGACTGATAAGTTCTTTATTTGAAATGGCGTTTTCATCGAAGGGTTGTCTCATCAATACGTATTGTCCAGCTGATTCACTTATCGGCTGATTAATTTCATTCGACGTTTCATTAGAATTGGATTCTACACCGATATTACTCAGAGAAATTTCACTTGAATTGAATTGTTCAGCGGGTTCACTAGCAGGTTCTTCACTTGAGCTGACATTTTCATCCACGGGTTGTCCTCTAGATTCGAATTTTCCAGATGGGTCCCTCATGGCCGGCCGATATTCACTTGAGGGCTGAGCAAGATAGGATCCTGCACCGTTACTATTTCGAGATTTTTTACTTAAACTGAATTGTTCAGTGGTTTCAGCCACAGGTACATCACCTGGCTTAAGGTTTCCATTCAGGGGTGGTCTGCTATTTTGGAATTTTCTAGTTGGGTTCTTTATCGAATGCCTATATTTACTCGAGGATTTAGTAGAATAAGAAGATGATTTACTTGAACTGACTTGTACAGTAGTTTGACTTACAGGTACATCACTTGGCTTCACGTTTCCATTCAAGGGTGGTCCATTGGATTCGAATTTTCTAACTGGGTCCCTTAACGAATGCTTATATTTACTCGCGGACTTAGTAAAATGTGGAGATGGACTACTTGAACTAAATTGTGTAGTGGTTAAACTCATAGGTCCATCACTTGACTTAACGCTTTCATCCAAAGGTGCTCCACTATTTTCGAATTCTCCAGCTGGGTCATTTGTCGCCTGCCAATTCTCATTCGATGATTCGGAAGACTGGGACTGTGTAACGATATCACTTGGGAATGGTTTACTTGAACTGTATTCTTCAGTGGTCATACTCATAGGTTCACTATTTGGCTTGAGATTTTTATTCATTGGTGGTCCACTAAATTGAAATTTTCTAGCTGGAACCCGTGTCGAATGCCTATATTTACTTGCGGATTTAGTAGAATGTAGAGATGGTTTACTTGAACTATATTGTATAGTGGTTTCACTTCCTGGAATTTCACTCGATTTAACGTTTTTATTCAATGGTGGTTCACTATATTTGAATTTTCCAACTGGATCCCTTTTAGATTGTCTATATTTACTGGAGGACTTAGTTGAGTGAGATTCTTCACCGATACCGGTCGGAGATGTTTTTCTTAAACTATATTCTTTAGTGGTTACACTCATAGGTCCATCACTTGGCTTAACGCTTCCATCCAAAGGTGGTCCACTATTTTCGAATTCTCCAGCTGGGTCATTTGTCGCCTGCCAGTCCTCATTCGATAATTCGGAAGACTGGGACTGTGTAACGATATCACTTGGGAATGGTTTACTTGAACTGTATTCTTCAGTGGTCACACTCATAGGTTCATTATTTGGCTTAAGATTTTTATGTATTGATGGTCCACTAGATTGGAATTTTCTAGCTGGAACCCGTGTCGAATGCCTATATTTACTTGCGGACTTAGTAGAATGTAGAGATGGTTTACTTGAACTATATTGTATAGTGGTTTCACTTCCTGGAATTTCACTCGATTTAACGTTTCTATTCAATGGTGGTTCACTATATTTGAATTTTCCAACTGGATCCCTTTTCGATTGTCTATATTTACTGGAGGACTTAGTTGAGTGAGATTCTTCACCGATACCGGTCGGAGATGTTTTTCTTAAACTATATTCTTTAGTGGTTACACTCATAGGTCCATCACTTGGCTTAACGCTTCCATCCAAAGGTGGTCCACTATTTTCGAATTCTCCAGCTGGGTCATTTGTCGCCTGCCAGTCCTCATTCGATAATTCGGAAGACTGGGACTGTGTAACGATATCACTTGGGAATGGTTTACTTGAACTGTATTCTTCAGTGGTCACACTCATAGGTTCATTATTTGGCTTAAGATTTTTATGTATTGATGGTCCACTAGATTGGAATTTTCTAGCTGGAACCCGTGTCGAATGCCTATATTTACTTGCGGACTTAGTAGAATGTAGAGATGGTTTACTTGAACTATATTGTATAGTGGTTTCACTTCCTGGAATTTCACTCGATTTAACGTTTCTATTCAATGGTGGTTCACTATATTGGAATTTTCCAACTGGATCCCTTTTCGATTGTCTATATTTACTGGAGGACTTAGTTGAGTGAGATTCTTCACCGATACCGGTCGGAGATGTTTTTCTTAAACTATATTCTTTAGTGGTTACACTCATAGGTCCATCACTTGGCTTAACGCTTCCATCCAAAGGTGGTCCACTATTTTCGAATTCTCCAGCTGGGTCATTTGTCGCCTGCCAGTCCTCATTCGATAATTCGGAAGACTGGGACTGTGTAACGATATCACTTGGGAATGGTTTACTTGAACTGTATTCTTCAGTGGTCACACTCATAGGTTCATTATTTGGCTTGAGATTTTTATGTATTGATGGTCCACTAGATTGGAATTTTCTAGCTGGAACCCGTGTCGAATGCCTATATTTACTTGCGGACTTAGTAGAATGTAGAGATGGCTTACTTGAACTATATTGTATAGTGGTTTCACTTCCTGGAATTTCACTCGATTTAACGTTTCTATTCAATGGTGGTTCACTATATTTGAATTTTCCAACTGGATCCCTTTTCGATTGTCTATATTTACTGGAGGACTTAGTTGAGTGAGATTCTTCACCGATACCGGTCGGAGATGTTTTTCTTAAACTATATTCTCTAGTGGTTACACTCATAGGTCCATCACTTGGCTTAACGCTTCCATCCAAAGGTGGTCCACTATTTTCGAATTCTCCAGCTGGGTCATTTGTCGCCTGCCAGTCCTCATTCGATAATTCGGAAGACTGGGACTGTGTAACGATATCACTTGGAAATGGTTTACTTGAACTGTATTCTTCAGTGGTCACACTCATAGGTTCATTATTTGGCTTGAGATTTTTATGTATTGATGGTCCACTAGATTGGAATTTTCTAGCTGGAACCCGTGTCGAATGCCTATATTTACTTGCGGACTTAGTAGAATGTAGAGATGGTTTACTTGAACTAAATTGTATAGTGGTTTTACTTACTGGAACTTCACTCGGCTTAACGTTTCTATTCGGGGGTGGGCTACTTGATTTGAATTTTCCAACTGGACCCTTTGTAGATTTTCTATATTTACTAAAGGACTTAGTTAAGTGAGACTCTGTACCGATACCGGTCGGAGATGTTTTTCTTGAACTGTATTCTTCAGTGGTTACATTCACAGGTCCATTACTTGGATTTACGCTTCCATCCAAAGGTGGTCCACTATTTTCGAATTCTCCAGCTGGGTCATTTGTTGCCTGCCAATTCTCATTTGATGATTCGGCAGACTGGGACTGTGTAACGATATCACTTGGGAATGGTTTACTTGAAGTATATTCTTCAGTGGTCACACTCATAGGTTCGTCATTTGGCTTGAGGTTTTTATTCATTGGCGGTCCACTAGATTTGACTTTTCCAGCTGGGTCTCTTGTAAACTGTCTATACTCACTCGACGATTCCGGAGTCTGCGTTTCAGTACTGATACCACTCGGAGATGTTTCACTTAAACTATAATCTTCAGTGGGTTCACTTATAGGTATATCACTTAGCTTGACGTTTCCATCCTGGGGTGGTCCAGGAGATTTTAAGTTTTCTGCTGAATTGCTTTCTGACGGATCAGATTCATTCGACAACTCATTAGAATTGGACTCTCCACTGTGTCCATTCTGGGAGGTTTGACCTGAAATGCATTGTCTAGCTGTTTCGCTTAACGGTTTGAGTCCGTTCTGAGATGGTGTCTTATTAACGTAAACTTCAGTAGGTTGCGCATTGTATCCAAGCTTTTCGGAGTTATAATGGTGGCGTCGATGAGCACGATCCGCTTGAATTGCAAAAGCGACGGCCAAAAAAGCCAGAATGTGAACAAGAATTTTCATTTCTTTTGCTGTAAAAAGAGAGTAAATGAATCAGAGGAAAAATATAGTATAGTTACACCGAATTTATTTGGTCGAAACTGAAAAAAGACGTTATTCCGAAATGAAACAGTAGATTTTTAGCTATATTCAAGATTATTTTACGTATTTCAAAAGGATTCAGCTTTTTCAATTGTCCTGATGGTTCAACAATGTACACAGTCTGTCTGAAAAGTTTCCCACCTTAATTTGAAGTTGGCACCATTTATTTACATAGTTAGAGTATATCTTTTAAAAATGCTTCATTTTTATTGAACAATCATATAAGTGAAACATTGTGGAGATTTTTTTAATGAAAAAGCTTGAGCAACAAGCTATTATTAAAGATTTTTTTTTTAAATAATACGCTAACGCAAATCGGAAGAGTTTGATACTATGTCTGAAGTGTCCACTCTATCATTTACGACCGTGAAATTTTAGCCAACTAAATTCATACGTGGCCATATCAGCTTAGCTGATAATGAGCGTTCGGGATGGTCAAAAACTGCGACAGCTAGCGATAACATGGGAAAAGCACCAAATTATACTGGAAGACCATCGAATTAAGGAAAGAGTGATAAAAAAGGCTCTTGAAATATTAACAGAACACATTTCTTATATATTCTGACTAAATAATTGGACATGTGTAAGTTATCCGCGCATTGGGTGCCAAGTTGCTCGCTTTGGATCAAAAGTGCATTCGAATGAACACTTTCAAAACGATATTGATGTGGTTTAAGTAAAAATGAGTTGGAATTTTCTCATCGGCTTATAATTGTATATACAACTTGGATCCAACATTATACTTCTGAAATGAATCAACAGTCAAGACAATGGATTGCAATAGCCGTAACTGCTCCAAAAAAGTCAAAGACGTTTTTATCGCCAAAAAGTTAAAACAATAACAGGAGAATTCTATGACCATTGTTTAAAAATTTGATGGCAGAAATTGCTCAGAAAAAATGAAGAAAATGCTTTTTCATCAGGATAACGCATCTTTTCACATTTCGATGATGGCCATGATGAAAATTCACGATCTGCACTTCAAATTGATTGATCACCCATCGTATTTACCAGATCTAACTTCCAAGTTTCACTTGCAGGAGAAAAATTTTCATGGAAGCAGAAAAATATCGCGTAAATAAACGCCTATTTCAAAGAGAAAGACGTTAACTATTATTTGGAAAAGTTAAAGAAGTTCGAGAATCGCTGCAATAAGTCTATCCACTCAAAAGAAGACTATGTAAAACAATAAAAATGATTTTAGAGAAAAATTTCTTGTTTCTTTATTAGATCGGAAACTTTTAAGACAACACTCGCAAATTTTTAAAAATTATAGATAATTTTATTATACTGTCAATTTATGTTTATGGTAAGTAACCCAATCCAATCAAGGTATTTTATTTATTATTTTATCTACCATTCATTTATACATTGGAGATACTATAAAAAAATCGACTGTGCTATAAAACATAGACGTGCTGAATTCATATTGTAATATCAGAAGCTCAATTTCGTTCATATTAAAATTGAGAATTGGTTGTAACGTTTCAACACGTTGGTGCTTCCTTTTAAAACTAACAATATGAAGGCACAGATTGTTGGTTTTACTTTACTTATAATTTCGAATGTTATATATGATTTCAAGTTTCGGTATGAACAAGTTTTATATTATATGGATTCAGCTAATCTAAATTTTAATTATATAGTGGAGTGTAATAATGTACATTCTATAAATGAATCAATTCTAAACGAAAATAAATAACCACAATACCGTTTACTTTACTGAAATATGGATTAGATAACGAATCATAACAAATTTAAGAATTGTACAGAATAATACGTAATTACGTTTTTCTACAATATTTTACCAAATAAATTTGTGAAAAATTATTAAATAATTGTACCTTCGAAAGAGACAGTAGATGTACCAAAATGTTCACTAAAGCGGAGTGGTACAACCAAGTCCACCTTTAGCAAGACTTATATATAAACATTTCAATGACTAATATTCAAAAACGTAAATAACTAATGCAAGAGCACAAACTAATCGTTTTTAAAGTTCCGCCTGACGTGGACGAGAACATCGTCAGAGGCTAGTATAACATAGTAAGTGAATGCTTTGTTTTATGCGTTACGTGCCATATCGTCAACATTATATACTTACAAAGGGATCATATGTTAAAATGCGAGCAAATTTTTTTATGCGTGCTCACGTTTCTTCTATGTTTCTTCAATCTAAATCCAACATTTATATTACGTCGGATCAAGATGTATAATTTTACTTTAGAATCATTGAGGGAACTGTCATCAAACAAATTAATTGCTAATAGACATATGTCGTACATAATAATGTCATAATTTTCATACTAGCGAAATGACTAATCTGTCGTTACGTGAAATTAGTAAACAGACTAATAAATAAATAGTGTTACTAGATTAGATAAACTCTTTTAAAGGAGTAGTCCATAAATGTTACTCGTTTAAACGTCTTTATGCAATAATTATTTCATTATGGTCAATACCAATAGCTATTTTTAACTTGTATTTTTCTTATTATTTCCAAACTTTCGGAAATGAATACTGATGTAATGAATGTCTGAAGACTGATAATAGAAAAAATATGACTCAATGGAATAGCTTTGTGTAGTTGCATTGTTTCAGAGATTGAATTACTTGGATGAAATCATTTTTTTTTAAGTAAAGCATTTTTTTCCATTTACTTAATCACAAGGTTATACCATGCTGTCAAAGTTCACCTAACATACTGGATTTGGAATATTTTAGGAAATTTTTTGTATCAGCAACGATTTTCTATACCATTGTGATTGATCTCTGGTGCTTTAGAAGATACCTAGTAGTCCGAAAAGCCTACTAGGATACTTTTGATCACCGATACATAGAAGATCCGACTGGAAATTTGTTTATGACATAATTTTCAACCAATAATAGCGGAAAAACTAGCCCCAAGTGTTTTCTCTGAAACAAAGAATAATCAGATCCGAAGAAAGTTGGACGAGAAAGAACATTTTACAAAACAAGCTAACCATTTAGCCTACCGCGCGTGATCTGCTATTATAATGTCAACCGACAAATGTTCCTCGGCTAAAAATTTTCTATATTCGTTGTCATTAGTAACGTATTGTCGATCGTTAGTAACGCATTAGCAATTGTTAGTCAGACAGCTTTCGGCGTTTTCTAATTGATCTTACCTCCAGACAGAACGTCTGCCAATCATTTTCTCGTTAATTCCCTGGACGTAAATAACGCTATAAATTAATTTTCAGCCAGCTATATGCCAACATGAGCAAAAAATATTTTCTGTCAGTATTTTCGAGTGCGTCAAATTAGGACGTATATGCCAATATGACTTTCACTAATAATTAAGCAGTAAAAAGATCAGCAAGCTCTAGTTCGATCTACAGTAAATTTGCGCGTGACGAATAAACGAAACAGCATTTCGCTGCACTATATTGTGATGAACACAAATTTCGCAAATAACCAAAACCTTATTGGAATTGTTGCGCGATAAAAAGTCTATAGATTTGACAATAATGAGATATGAGTGCATATTCAATCTGTATGTTTTGGTTCGCCTGCTTTACTCAAATTTTTACCAGAACGTAATTTTTACACGACAATCAAATGACATAAACACGTCGTAGCTTTTGCATTCATGAACTGTGCTTCGAGGAACAAAAACAATAAGCGAAAGAATTGTTACACGTGTACCAAACTTCTTTTGCAATGTGGGGCTGAAAGATTCGAATCTCAGAAAACTATACAGACAAGGATTTAAACATATATAAATGAATGTGCAACCTATGATTTATAAGATTATTATTATGCAATTTCTTTATTCCAGTATAATGGTACTATATATTTAGCCATTGTAAAATGTATTAATATCCGAAAGATTCATATTACAGATGACATTATATCGAAGAAATTAAGCGTAAGATATTGCGAATAACTCTAAAATAAAAAAAATCTTCACAAAATATTACAAATTTTAAAAACTATTGAAGCCCAGTTATTTGGTAAAAAATGTATAGCTAAAGAAAATTTAATAAAAAAAGGATGTTACTAGATAAATATTGAAAAATGCTATGTCGAAGAATTAATAAAACAATTTGACAATTAATTAGCTGAAAAATTAAAAAACTTCCAGTATTTAAACGAGGAATTCCCATAATATTTGAGGGCAATAGAGACATAATTTGTCATCCTTTTATAATCTATTTTAATTGTACTGCATTTTTTTCTATCGTGATACAAAAATGAAAAATTTTCTAATTTTTGCGAAATAAATTAGATGGAATTGATCTTAATAATGGAGATATTTTAAACAACGTTTTCGAAACTTTATAGGCTTAGAAATATTATCTTGATTTTTCATTTCATGAATTTTTCAATTCGATAGGAATATTTCTTAGATTGTAAATCACAATAAGTTATCTAAAACAGAAATGACAATTTTTTTGAATTCATCTTAAATTCATCTTAATTTACGCACACAATTACTTTCTCACCACGAATTCTAGTTTATTTGTATGAGTGACTGTATAAAGTTTGTGTAGTTATCGCGCTTGACGCCTTATGATCGTCTGACGGCTGTGGCTCAGTGGCTGTTACATCGCGTAACGAGTCGGGTTTTCTCGATCTTTTTTTAATCAAGTTGGGTGACGCTGTGAAACCGGTGTAAATCAAATATCAATATATTTTTAGTAAAAAAATTGATACGTCAAAGGACTATAGTTAGTAGTTGATTTTTCTTTTATTTTTGATAAAAATTGAACATTACTCGATGTGTTAATTGCACTAACACCAAACTAGAAAAGTTGACGCGAGAAAATTTGTAAATAATGAATAGTAATTTTTGTTGAAGCATATCACAGGCATCAATGCTAATTGAAGGTGAGTTTTATTGTTATTTATATGTATTTACACAAGCGTCAAAAGTGCCTTAGAAGCGAAAGACAAAAAACACCATTTTGTAGGTTAGTTGGTCCGAAGGTCCCGAAAAAATAACCGTATTGGCTCATGCGTAATGAAAATCTTCGCTATAGCAAGTGCCGACGTAAAAAATACCTAACCGATGTTCTGTATGGTTTGGTTGCACACTTGCTTTTCTGAATTCTCAAGTGAAAGACATATATCTATTGATACGATTGATTGCGAGTGAAGGTTATGTATACGGTGAGTTTGTAATCATAACAAGATGTTGGAAAAAGTTGCACAAGTCTCACAGTTCAAGAATATCCTGCGAGAATTTCCCAAGAACACGAAATTTTGCTTTGCTTATGGTTCTGGTGTGTTCAAACAGAAAAGCGATCCAGCTAGTAACATGCTGGACCTTATATTTTGTGTCCGTAATCCTTATCAATGGCATGCTGAGAATATGTCCAAGAATCCTGATCATTATGCTCAGCCAATGAAATTTCTAGGACACAAAGCTGTTTCAAAAGTACAGGAGCACTGGGGTGCTAAAATTTATTACAATACTTTGATCACAACCACTGAAGGAAGGAATATTAAGTACGGAGTAATCTCAGAAATATCTTTGGTCGAAGATTTGCTTGACTGGAATGTGCTATATTTAGCTGGCAGATTACATAAACCTGTAGAAATTATAGTGGAACCAGATGAGAATTCACAAATAAGGACTGCTTTGGTGCAAAATCTACACTCAGCTGTACATGCTGCTCTAATATTATTGCCTGAGCATTTTACAGAGGTAGAGTTTTATAAAACAATAGCAGGTTTGTCTTACAACGGTGATTTTAGAATGATATTTGGAGAGGACAAAGAGAAAATTAATAACATCGTTCTACCTCAGTTAAAATACTTCAGAGAGCTTTATGCTCCGATATTAAAACACTTTGATAAGTATGTAGAAATGTCAAATGAAGATGGCAATGAAACCTGTCAGCAAGATCTTAGTCCAGAATCAAGAATTCATCATTTGAACCAGTTGCCAAGAACACCTCAAGTCAAATTAGTCAGATCATGGTCACAGGGACCAAGGTCAAAAGATACTGAGGACTGTTTGAGAGCAATAGCATATGATCCTGATTCCAGTGAAATATTAGATCAGTGTTTAAGAGATATAGTATGGAAGTCAAGTGTTACACAGAGTTTGAAAGGAATTATTACAGCAGGCCTTGGAAAATCAGTCAAGTATAGTGCAGCCAAGATAATGAAAATGATGAAGTCAGAGGAACAGAGGAAAAAACTCACTATACCTATATCAAATTTAATCAATAAAAGGAGTGAATCATTACCAGTAAAAAGTGCAATAAAAATCGATAGTATAACTAAGACTTCAGAAAAGCGAGTGGAGCCATAAAGATGAAATATTACCAAAATATGTCTTTATTGTTTAATTTTTAGTAAAACTTACCGTGTAACTCAAAACAGTTGTCTATTAGTAGCAAGTTGATTTATTGATAATCTAATAAATTTTTGCTGAGAATTATAAGTTTCACGTTTTATTTTTGAAAGCATATCGTTTTGTAAATTTTGAATAAATTTTTCATTCTTATAAAATCTAAAAGATCTTAGCAATGAAAATGTAAGTTGCGTAAACGAATCCTATACTTTTCAAATTTTAAGAAATATTTTTTTCTCCAGGACTACTGGTTTAACTGCGAAAAATGAATTCGGATTCAGAGAGCCAAGACAGCGATGATGGGCGTCGATTCCGTTTTGAGAGTACTCGCAAAGACACTGCCTCATTAGCGACAGCTAGAAGAAACGTCTCGCCTCAACGTAAAAGACGTTATTCTCGCTCACGTTCGCGATCTCGTTCTTGGGATAGAAGTTCAAGGCATTCAAAAGACGATAGAAGAAGTCGATCATCGGTTGATTGTGAAACCAGCAATAAAAAAGACAAAAATTCAAAGAGTAATAGTAAAGAGAAGAAGAAACATCACAAGGATTCTCATCGGCCGAAAGATTCTGACAAACATAAGAGCAAACATAAAAAACGTTCGAGAGAGAGGAGTCGAGAAAGGACAAACTTAAACGAAGAGAATTCTAAGCGAAAAGAGGAGAAGCCAGAATCAGTTGTGGAAAAGTTAGAAAAACGAAAAGACGAGGAGACTACAAAACGAAAAGAGGAATCGCTGGCAACGACAAACGATCACAAGTTGGAAAAGCAAAAGGACGAGGGAAATTCCAAACAAAAAGAGGAGTCGTCAGTGTCGAATGGACAAAAGCAAAAGGAAGGCTGCGATAAGGTAAATGAGAGAAGTGTGGAGAAAACGCAGGAAAAGTATAACAAGTTAGTCGTTTCAGATGAGATGAGGGCAGATGCTGCAGCCCCAGCTCGTAAAAAACCCAAATCTTTTTTCGAAAGGGTCGTCAATAAGAAGGCCATCGAGGAAGACACATCGTATTACGGACCCGTTTTGCCTCCTCAGTTGGAGAAGAAATTGCTGAATGTACGAGAACGAGGAGATATGGAGCAGCCAAAAATTATAGGAAATCTTCCATCGATGGAGAATGATAAGTCACCAAATATTGGTCCTGCACTGCCTTCGTATCTCTCGGTGGTGGAGAAAAATGAATCGCAAAGTATCGGTCCCGCGCTTCCTTCACATCTGTTAGCGTCGAGACAAGCAAATGAAGACGACGAAAAAATAGAAACAGATGAAGCTTCTAATAAAGAAGACAGCGAAGAAGAAGATACGTTCGGTCCGCCTTTACCACCAAACTTGCAAAAACGAAAGGTTATTGGACCTGTATTGTTAGATAATTTTGTTCTCGGAGAAACACCTATTCATGTTTCTACGTTGAGTCCAAATTCTAAAAACGACGAAGACAGTGACGATGATGGTGAGGTCGTTGGTCCCCTACCTCCTGATCATCCTGCTGCTAGAAGTCAAGCTAAAATGCTGCTAGAGTATCGAGCTTTGCAAATACAAGCTAAATTTAAAGATAAGGTAACTTTTTTATACATTTTATTTTATGATTCTTTAAATTAATTGGAAATTCATAAAAATAATGTATTTTATAAGTTTTAGTAAAGAAATTCATGGTTATCAATGCATGTGAATTTTTTCATTTACAGACTGCTCCAGAAGAAAAAAAAAGAGAAGAATGGATGACTGAACTACCTCCAGCGCATGCTATTGCTTTAGGCTTAGGTTCGATACCACGTACTTTTAGAACAAAAGAAGGCCCTGATATGTCCGATAGATCGATGTGGACGGATACGCCGGCAGATAGACTTAGAAAACAGAAGGAAAAGGTTTGTTGTACTTATTGGCTAACGTATTGATAATATGCTCGAAAAACCTTAGCTCATGAGAAATTTCTGATAAATATAGGAGGAGAATAGATTTGTCCCATCTCAGGAATCAAGTAAGAAATCGAAGTCTAAAGACCAAGATGTTACACAGGAGGCTAAAGAAGAAAAAAGACCTGAATCACTTTTAGATATGCACCTGAAAAATTTGAAAAAGAAAAAAAAGGTAAGAACTTTATTTATTATTTACAACATTTTTTCAATACCAATAAATATAATCAATGCTTAACGATTTTAGAAAATGGAAAAGGAAGCGAAAGATCTTGGATTACCCACTAGAAGGCCTTTTGATCGTGACATTGATCTGCAAGCAAATCGCTTAGACGAAGCAAGAAAAAAAAAGATTTTTGAGAAAGCCAGCCGCTTGAACGACAGGTTTAGTGCAGCTAAAATGCTGTAAGAATTTGTACATTGTTACTGATTGCACTTTGTAAGTTAGATTATAAGAACTATAATGTATCAGCTAATCAGCTACATATACTTTACATTTTTACGTATAAACTTTTAAAAGATATTGTTGTTGATAAGACATTTTCAATCCTTGTTTATTGCGACTATTGACTTTTATCTGTCAGTTTAATTTCATAATTGTAAATAAAAAGAAATTTAGTTTATTAATTTTTATAATTATTAGCTTAGTACGTACAACAATTGACTATAGCAGGTAAAAAACGTTTTTGAAAATATAATTTTATGGTTGTAAACAAATCATACGTTTTAAGTTCTCCAGAAAATTGTAAATTAATTCCTAATATAATATTTAAAAAAAGGAAATCATTTGAAAATGTACAAAAAAAAATCAGGATGAAATTTAAATTTGTTAAAAAATAAATTTTTTTAACAAAACAAACTTGGGGTTTCTATTGGTGTTAGTTCCACTTAGAGATATTTAATAAGCTTATAAAACTCAGAGAATGACTTCTGATAACGGTGCATCAAACGTAAATGTTATAGGATATCTAAAAAAAGAACATTCAATCTTTCCCATATGATCTCAATTTGAATTAAATACAATTAAATCTCTGACTAATATAACGTTCTAATACATATGTGTGATCTTTATCACATATCAAAAGTCGGTTACGTGCATGGATGTTATTAGCATACAGTTTTTCACGTGTTAAGAAAATAAATTTGAAATAAAAAATCAACCAATGCAAATACCTTTCTTTGTCGACTTAGCCGATAAATATTAAAAACTTTCGCTTTGTTATTTTCAAAAACATTATTTATTTATTAAACTTGTATACAACGTGTATATACTATAATATTCAAACGTTTCGTTTAATTTCACTTTAAATTAAGAAACAAATCACGGTTTTTGCACAATTTTCTACAAATCGCTGTAAAGAAAAATTAACAGAAAAGTACATTGACGTAATGCTTTACTTGTATTGTTATTATATTTATTTTTTATACAATTTATCAATATTTATTTATAACAAATTCACGTTTGTTTGCGAATATCCACCCATACATGAAAAATATTACAAATATACCCTTATTTAACTTGTGTTTTAATATGCTGAAGGAATTCGTAGTAGCTCAATGCGTTCTCGAATCTGTCCTCTATTAAGCGCTCGGTAAACAGTGTCCTAAAGTGACCGTCATCCCTAATTACTTGTAAAGTTGCCGGATAAGGTTTATCCTCTTGCAGACAATTGATCAAAGTCCTAAGTCTATCCGATTCCGGAGTATCCAATTCTGGTAGCCCAAACATCTCCTCGGGTATTGCCGTGAAACTCGCCACACCGAGCACATTGTAACAGAATGATGGATGAACGTTCTTACTCACGTACAGATACATGTGGTCAAGATTATCTAGTAAAAATACACCTCTTGAGTCCAACTTCTCGGCCGATAGATGTAGTCTGTTGGGTAATACAATTTGTCCATCTACCTCTTCAATTTGTTTGTTGACGAACTCGTGCACTGCATAAAAGTCTGGATAAATAAGCTGTATGAGCTGATTCAAAGGCAAAGTCTTCAGCTGGCACATGGCAAACACACGATCATCCAATCGCGTGCTTAATCCGAATCTGAATCCTCGGCTCTTCAGCAGCGAGACTATGTACATCGGCAACAGTTTCAGGTTCTGCGGTGCAACTAATCCACCACCCGGGTACGACTGCAAAAGTTTGTAAGCAGACAGCGCGTCAACGACTGCATTGATAAGCGCTTCCCTGGCATCGGATAGCGAAGCCTGTTGCGACCTATCTACTGCCATTTTTGATAACATTCCTATGATACACTGCTGATCGGCCGAATAAATGACGTCTGATAAATTTGTGGTGACCGGTAGGCAGAGAGTGTGAACGCGAATTCGCCTTTCGCCTCGACTCGAAGTGTAAAGTAAGGCAGCTTGGAAGCAGACGTGCTGCATATCCGACAGATTTTCGTCGATAGTCACCTGCATGCCAAAGCCTGCGTCTGGATTGATATTAGGCAAACTCAACAGGTCTGTCGATCGAACGAAAAAGTTGCCGTGGAACGTATGGATGCTCAAACCACGTGTACAACGAATCCTCATGACTGCTTCGAAACCAATTTTTCTAGTGAGATAACGTCTTAGCATTTTCTCCAAAGCCTCGATATGTTGCAATTTCGATGCCTGGAACAGCGGTATGTAGTAGATACAACCTCCGGAAAATTTACAGATGCCAGATAAGGTAGCCAAGTCACTGTACTGACAATTTAGCAGGAAAAGATCTACGGCTATCTGTTGACCGCTGCAGTCTAGAGCCAAACGTTTATAGAAGTCTGTGGCAGGATTCAAGTGTGGAACGTCCTTGGCAGCTCGCGTATTTGGATCTTCTCGTGCCGTAAGTGCACCTGGACCAATGTTCGGTAGGCACAGTTGGAACACTGTCACTCGACCACCAGTCGGTGACATCAGCTTAAATGCAGCTTGAAGAGCAGCTCCTAATGCGCAATTAGTGTCGAAAGTATCTCTAAACATATATGACAGCTGTTGCAGCAAGTCTTTGACAAGCTCTTGGTGTTCGCGCAAATTGACTATCAAATTATCCGGACACGGTAGGAATACATCGTCAATATCCAACATGACCATCTCATGAGGCTGAGATGCGTTCTCTTGTATACTAAAGAAATGTACAGCCGAGTCCACAGCTATAAATCCAACTTGAGTTCGACTGTCTCCGGGGAGCTTAGACATCTCTTCCGAAACGATATTGCAAACTAGCTGCAAATATCCGCTGTCCACGGCAAGCTTAGATACGTCAAATATAAAAAGATATACCGCGGGTTGAGGCGGCCGTAACATGTACTCAGCTGGTGCGATGAACTCAATGGTACTTGCACGAATTTCTGGCCGTCTACTTGGATCTCCGTAAGATCTTGTTGCTGGATCGAATTGAAACTCTTCGGGGAGCTCGTTGACTTTGAAGCACAAGTTGCACTTCCACCTCTTGCTGTCTACAAAGTATACGAAAGGATTGATGTAGGTTCTGCAAGATCTACAACGTACAATCGAGCTACATTGTATGACGGGCAAGTGATTCAAGTCTTTGAATGGATGTATAAGAATGCCTAGCGGTAAGCGTGACTTTTGCAGTAGCGAATTCGAATCGGGAATTTTCGTTAATGTACAGCGAAATATCTCAGGACTGCAGTTGGCGCGATCTAACAAATCTTGATGCAACTTTATCCTAGGTGGTGAGACTTTGTCCGTCGGCAGAATGTTTCTGCACTGCATGAGATCCACGTAATCCATACCCCACATCTTATTGAAGCCAGTTCTTGACACTGATGCATTTTGATATTGATTTAATTGGTTGTTTTGAGAATATGCATTCAAATGATTTGGCCGCATTTCTGCAGAATCTGTAAAGGTGCAAACATTGTGTTAATTTACTTTAAGTAATTTGTGGTTGACGCGCACATGCGCGCGCGTACACATGCACGTATGCATACACATACAATAATTTTAATATCTGTTAAGGGTGGATACAATTAAAAGAACAATTTGATCAAAACTTGAATAAAAATTTTGAGTTATAAAGAATAATTTTAATAATCATGGTTTAAGGAATGAACTGAATTCAATAATACAACACTAATTTAAATCTTGAGTCATTAAAACCAAGTCGTGTTTTGATCAAAAGCTTCCACATTTATACTACAAACTGATATTGTTGAATATGTAATTAATTGATCATGACAAGACAAAACATATTGCAGGAAAAAAATATTTAAATAACAAAAAAGGTTGCAAGAGAGTTATGAAATTTACAATATGCAGCTTGAGAATTTAAATTCAATTATTTTTATATTTATTATAAAAAATAAATACCTGCACTCATCGGGCCATAATTTGCCATAGGCACATTATGTGGAATGGGATTTCTGTTTAATGCAGAACTGCTGTTCAAAGGTATATCTCTGAACTGAGCGCTACTATTGAAGCCAGGAGGACCATTGTTTGCTGGTAATCCAGTACTGTAATGAGGATCTCTGCTCGTTGGTGGAGCACTCAATGGTGAGCTAGCACTAACAAGTGAATTGCTATGTAGTGAAGGAACATTACTATAAGGTGGAATATGTAACAAAGGTTGTCCAGAGTTCATCCTTGGACCACTCAAAGTTGAAGGTCCACTTAATGTTAAACTATTTAAGTTGAGAGATGCACTACTATACATTGGTAGCCCATTACTCAGTGGTAAACCAGTGTTGTACAGGGGTCCAGCTGTAGTAGGTGGATTACTTTGTGTAGGAGGGCCATTGACGAGTTGTGAACCACTTTGTAATGGTAGGCCAGTACTGACAGTTGATCTTTGAATCGATGGAGCACTGCTTGACTGTGGACCACTTGGCAATAGCGGACCTGTGCTAACAACTGGCTTTTGTAGCGATGAAGCATTCATTTCAAGTGATCTATCATCCAATGGAGGTCCAGCTGCAACAGATGGTCTATTTTGTGGAGGATAACTAATATTTTGTTGTGAAATGACATTAGATTGTAAGCCAGTTGTCATAGATGGTTTGCTTTGCAATGGAGGTCCTATATTTGATGGTAGAGCAGTATTTGATTGCTGGCCAGTAATAAGTGACCTATTTTTCATTGCAGGTCCATTAATCATCTGAGGTATTCCTGCATTTTGTGATTTGGTTTGTCTTACTGGACCAGTGCCTATTGAAGACAGTGTACCTAATTGTGTACCACTACTGACTGGTGACCTATTTTGTGTTGTAAGTCCACTGCTTAACTGTAACCCAGTAGTATTTGGTGATCTATTTTGTTGTGCAGGCCCGCTGCTTGACTGCAAACCACTGCTCATTTGTGGGCCAATCGATACAGATGATTTATTCTGTAATGAAGGGCCAAGTTTTGGCTGTAAACTAATAGTTACTGGTGATCTACTTTGACTTGTGGGACCATTATTCAATGGCTGACTACTATTTGATGGAGGTTTGCTATTGTCACTTGATCTATTGAAAACTAGGTCACTATTTGAAAGTAGACTAGTTTGGCTTGGATGGCCACTATTCAAATGCAGACTACTTTGGCTTGGAGGGCCACTATCCAAAGTCAGACTATTTTTTAAAGGAGGTCCACTGGTGACAATAGGTGTGTTATTATAGGCTGAGTCACTATTTGGGGACAAGACACTGTTAATAGAGCTAGTGCTTGACTGTGGATGGCTTCTACTTGTGAACAAACCACTATTCAAGGATGCATTAGTATTTACAGGTGGATTGTTATTTGGAACAGGTGGTCCACTGTTCTGCGCTGGCTGGCTGCTGTACAAAGTTTGATTTCTGTTTGTCTCAATGGCAGCTGTGTTGGAAGGAAAGTCAGCGTTGTTCAACATAATACCAGTATTATTAGCCATAGATTCACTTGTATTCAACTGCCTACTGCCAAGTGTATTTTGGTTGTAAATTCCGCGATTTTCTCCATGTTGAAATGACTCCTCAGCAGCATTATTAGACTCGTTAGTCAGAGGGACGTCTTTTCGAATCATTGAACAAAGATATTGCTATCGCTTTTCTGCGAGTCGTAATGTGACGCAAATTGTATTTCCTTTTTTTCGTATTCGCTATTTATACGTTAGAGAGGTTAACTCTGAAAAGTCTGAAATAATATAATCGTTAAAACAGTCACATAACTCATGCATTATAACTTTTTAATGCGATCAACGGAATAGATAATCGTTTTACCTTCAGAAAAATTGCTAATTTCAGGCGCGATTGGTCGATATTATATTATTCATATATTATACTATATTGCGAGTAATTCTTAATGCTCTAGGAGGTAAGAAAAAATTTCTAAGTTCTAGCAGTTCGGAGACAATCGTACTGTACACAACTTAAACAAGTAACTTTTTCACAAACAAAGACCAAACGTCAATTTAAACAAAAAGAGTGTCCGTCAGAATAATTTCTTTCTTTTCCTAACAATTTTTCTCATTGTTAACTTTAACCCTAAGGTGTGCCTGCAATACTCCGTTAACCTCTACGTCAATGGGACACTGACAGGTCTACACATCGACGCAGGCGTCATACATGTATTAGCATCCGTATGTGTGCGCAATATGCTACGTATACGGAAACGGATGACCGTGAATAACACTTTGCCAAGTTGTCTGGTTAAGTGTCAATTAAAATAAATTAAACTGAAATTCTTTAGATTTTTGTTCTACTTATTGTTAATATTTTACTGCATTCAAATTGCATGACGATATCATTTTAATGTCGTAATATGCTTGCTAAGGAATATCGAGCTACGCTTTATTGTACGATGACACGGATTTCTTCTAGAAGAACTTTTGATAACAGTATTAATGTTGGAGTGGAATTGAATCGTTATCTTTGATGATGATGTATGTACTACATAAATAAATCGCACATAAAATGAGTCTCCGAGTGATAATTAAATTTATAGAATTTTCTTATTTATTAGTATATGAAGCTGTAATTCGAAAAGATTTTAGAAGATAATTTGAATATTTCTTTAGACAAAAATTAACGGAGAATAAATTTTTGAAAATATGATGTTAACATTTTTATTTACGAAACATTTCGAAGTGTTATTTAACAAATATTAGAGTTTGATTGATTCGTGCGTCCTATAGTATTTACACAACACTTGTTAAATTAACTTTAAATATTGAACTTTGTTACGTACATGTGATTTCATTATTCAATTATTCATTATAAGTTTATTTTTTTGTCTGCGGTATCCACAGTTGATCAAATCCAAAAGTTTAATGATTAATTAAATTTATATAACGGTAAATAATTTTTTAATATCAATAGTTTGAAAAAATTCAATACTAATTAAGAAATGTATGATTTACCTAGAAAAATTAAAATTAAAAAAACAATTATATATATTTTTTAAAATTGGCGCTTCAATGCTTCAGATGTCGCCGCCATCCAATCGACTTCCGCAAGACGACAATAGCGTTGCGCAGAATCGGCAGTCCGGAGCAAAAACATCGAGCGCTACTATCAGTGAATACTTACTAGCAGTACGAAAATAATAAATCGTGTAATTTCGTTGAGTCGATGAAAAGGTTCTTGTGTGCTTTTTCATTACACCATTGATATCGCAGTGCATTTTCGAACATCAAATGTGAAAGTGCAAGGATAATTTGTGAACGAGCCGTTGGATACATTGACGAAGACCAACATAGCTCTCAGAAAAGTTGCAGCTAGTAATGTAAGTATTCTCATGCAAGAAAAATCACAACAAAAACATCGTCGTCGACCTACACCCACGTTTGCTCATCTCATAATTGCGTTTCGTGCAATTTTAATCAAGGTTCCAAGCTTATCAAATAAAAAGCTGATGCAGAAAGGAATAGCCTTCATGTGCTGACAGTTACCTAAATTGTTTGGTGATATATATGTTACGTGCGGGAGATAACTGTTTCATTGAGTCAGTAATTACTATTGCTTTTATATATGCATATTTGTTTGCCTGTGTGTGTGTGTCCATATAAATCTGTGTGTAAACAGAACCAAGTGAATAAAAAACTGTCATAGAACGTTGTTTTTTTGCGACACTTGCATTATTTTGAGTTAAAAAATATGCCAGCAGATGATTTTACGCAGCGCAATTGAGAGATTAACCTCATTTACAACGCGAGCATTTTTTTTTCGCGAGTGCGTGTATGATTTTACTTTTTCCGTCTTTTGTCATACAAATTACGTCAATACATACAAAATCCGATGCTTATTTCAGTGCTATCTAATTAGTGTTTGACGAATATAAATTTAATCATTCTAAATTGTAGTCAATAGTATGCGCTTTGATAAAATATTCGCGCAAACACGTAGCCATTATGTTTTTATTCTTGTAAAGAATTTATTTTGATAAAATACTTGTTGCTTTGAATAATAATTTTGAAATAATGCAAACGATGACAATTTTTAACACTGTTTTTAACTTTACATATGAAATAGCTTCTTTAAGTTTACAATTAAGAATTCCTCAATGAACTTTCTTTTACAGATATTATGCAGTTTGATTTAATTATTAAGTGTCAAAGATTTATCTGTTAAAACGTGATTAGGTATTATCATTTTAATAGGATAGTATCATTATCAATAATATTTATTTTGGTTAATCATTAAACTTTTTTAATATATTGTATATTTATCTAAAAAAAAACTTTTAGATATCTAAGCTATTTGATTTAATAGATATCATTTTGAAACAATAAACTAAAAAAGTAGTGTCTATTTTGTTATTTTTTAAAATATTTTTGAGTAATATATGTTTATAAAATATATCAATTCATTGAATAGTAGGCTATAACAAAGGAAATCAAGGAAAAGTTTAGAAAATAAATTGCATGTAGTTGATTGTAATAGTAACTTCCACATTGATATCTATTAACATACAATTACATGGTTAAAGTTATATTTCATCAATCAATGAAATATAGAAGGAAAAAGTATACCCAGTATACAAATGAATGGCAACCAATCCTTTCATTAATACTTCTTTACAACACAATGCATACACACACACACACACACACCCACACACGGAACAATGGCTTACGCACACGTTTACATACAACGTCACGAATGTCGATTTTCACGTTTGTCACGCGCTCGTTGAGTTCTTTACACAGTTGAACGTCACTTCCAGATTATGCAGTGGCTGCAAACGCAACGAGAAACTGCGCAAAGTATATTTGATCGCGCTGCCGCGAGTGTTCTCTCAAACTTCTTTTGTTACTCCTTGCTTATCTGCTTATTTCTGTGAAATGTTACTGCTGAATGTTGCACATCTATGACTGTAGGATAAGGTTTCTTTAATTACTCTCTCTCTCTCTCTCTCTCGTGCCTGTGTGTGTGGGTGATCTAATTAGAAGTGCATGTAACTGATTAATTCATGCTCGATTATCTATATCTTGTGTGGTGGTCTGCTTCTCTCAGTAGTTTTTTATGCTTGTATTTCATTAAATAATGTTTTTGTGTTGGAAGTGTAGTTTCTTTTGTTACAAACGAGTGAATCATGCTACCTGTTTTTAATAGGCTTTTTATAACTGTGGTAATTTCTGTTCATAAATCACTTGAATTAGAAGATTCATAATCAATAAATGTAATAATTGTACATTGCCAATCTTCTTCTCTTGTTCTCAATCTTTTCTCTTCTCAGTTTATAATCTTATATTCATATCTGGGCTTAAATATATGCTATAATTATGAATACATGTGAGTTAAAGTTAACTGTCAAGTCAGCAATTATTTAGATAATTCATGTTGGTATTGAAGAAATTTTGATTAAAAATAGAAAATACACAGTTTTCAAAGATGACCTACTATCTTGTTACTTAATTTATGCATAAAAGAACCAGATAACACTTTTTTATTGATTTAAAAAGATGTACAAAGTATATACTGATAACACTAGCTTGTTTTTAAATGAACGTTGGAATAAAATTCATCTAAGGAAAATCAAATGAAATTTTAGAAACACTGATTTTCAATGTTTAAATTTTTTTATTTTTCCTTTCATTTTCAGGACAATGCCGATTGGTGCTATTACGACCTGATCGGAAAATTTAAGCCTATGATATGTGATGAGATAAGAAGAATCAAGTTCAAATGAAACCATAAGCCCAAAGACTGGGGGCAACGAAGGGCGTTTGTTTTTTTCGTCAATCAAGTCGAACAATGTTCAAACGCTGCTTGAGCTGGTCAACGCAAATATGGTTCGCTGCTGTAACTATTTGCGTTGGTTACGGAAAAGCCGACATTCTAGTATTTCTATCATCGGATAGCCATAAAGTCGAGCAGGGCTTCCGTGATGCTCCGGCTAGATTTGGTGGTGCCCTTCCAGCTGAAGGATTCAGGGTAAATATACGTTCGACTGCTTACTTTTGCAACGTAACGACCATTAATCTTGGCCGTTCTTTCTGTTTTCTTTTTAGGGTGTAATTGCTGTTGCCGAACCACTACAAGCATGTAAAGATATAAAGCCTCCACCAAACAATACTCGTTATCAAGGCAATAACTGGATAGTAGTGATAGCCAGATTTAATTGCAGTTTCGAAGAAAAAATTCGAAGGGCTCAGAAGGCCGGTTTCGATGCTGCAATTGTTCACAATGTAGGCAGCAATGAATTAGGTTAGTTTTCTTTTCTAAATTTTTAATATACTTTATCGAAATAATATTTAAAAAATAATAAAAATTAATTTGTATTTAAGAGCAAATGTCAGCAAAAGATGCGACGAACATAACAATACCATCAGTCTTCGTTAGCGAGTTTACAGGCTCGCTTTTGAAAGAAGTTTATCGGTATGACGAAGACTACTTCGTCCTTATCAATGATATGCCTATCAATTTCAACACACACCTACTATTACCGTTCGCTATTGTCGTGGGAATTTGTTTTCTAGTCATGGTTATTTTTATGGTAAGTTTGTCTGTTATTTCAAAATCAAGGTTTTGAATACCATCACTCGATTTGTAGAAAATAATACGTCATTACATCACAATAATCGCAAATTATGGTCAAGTTAACCATAACTTGTGATATCTTGACCTGCTTGAAAAAAGGTGCGTTTTGAGAGTTGATAAGCGATATTTATAGTTTCTGAAAAAGAACTAAAAGTAATTGCTATAATTAGTGGAATAATGAAAGTAATGAGCACATTGACTTAACTATTAAGAACTATTTTATCTACTTTTACTAAAACTTTGAAAAGTATCACTAAACATCAATTAAATTATTAATGTTATCACAGATCAGTTTTATCATCAAATCTATTATATTTGATCTCTGACGTTATAAAAAATATTTTCAAATTTTTTAAAATTTTATCACTGAATGTATCATAGATCAAATCAGTAGAGTAAAATTTTGTGAAGACAAGATAACAATGGAACTCATTGACGATTATTTATTGGTTTTTATAGATTGTTAGATGTATTAAAGATAGGCGGAGACAGCGAAGACACCGATTACCGAATTCCAGTTTGAAAAAGATACCGACTCACAAATACACAAAAGGAGATCCCTACGAAACTTGTGCTATTTGCTTAGAGGATTATCTGGAAAACGAAAAACTTCGAGTATTGCCATGTGCACATGGTGAGTCAGAATTTCTTAAAACTAACAAAAACGAATATTTTGATATACAATAGACAAAGTTCTTATGTGTACTTAATTTGTATTTATATTTATTGTACGCGTTCTACCTAATTTTATAATAAGCTAAAATATCCAATAATCACAATTGTTTTTCAGCTTATCATACAAAATGTATTGATCCATGGTTAACAAAAAATCGTCGAGTATGTCCGGTATGCAAACGTAAAGTATTTGCGGCAGACGAGCGCGTCGAGACAGATTCAGAAAGCGATTCAGACGCAGATGACTCAACGCCGCTTATCCGTGAAAACAATCGGTCAGGGACTCAAGGCGGTACTTTTACACCACAAACGGAGAATCCGTTCTGGCGGCATATAGCAAATCGCCGTCGACGAGCATCCCAGCACTCCGGTAGTAGCTATGAGTCACCAGCTGAGGGTCATAACGAAGTTGGTGGTGGAACTGAAGCCGATACCGAAAGCACAAATACTAATGGTGATCTCGATCCTAGAAATAGTCCGGTTTTCTTGGTCTCAGATTGTCATAGCATTAACGGTTAGTATTTGACAGGTTTTGTTACTTTTGGTTTTGCGAGGTTATTTGATTTTCTTAATTTAATTGCACGTACCAATGATTTTTCATCTTGTGTTATATAGCTTTAAAAATTATATCTATTTTATGAGATTGAATAAGAGCATTTTTGAGTAAAAAATAGAGATTTCCTGTATAGGTGAAATGTCAGATCTAGAAAGATCGGTGAGCAGTACAAAACTTCACACAGTAAACCTATCTACGGAAGTAGATGAAAGTTCATCTGCTTTAGATAGGAGGCAACAAGCGAGGGCTGCTGCTAGAATTGGTGCTAACAATTTTCTTGCTACGTCGGTCGTACCACGGACATCCGAGAACAATGATGTTATTATTTAAATTTATATTCTCATCTTTACACGGTAAGTAAATTAAAATTCTTGATGCAATAGTTGATTGGTGCTTATCGATTTGTAAATCTTATAAAACTTTTTAGATGATTGTAAACGTAATATTTTAATGCAATAATCTAATATTTTATATTAAAATAAGAACTTTTACATTAATTCGTAAAGTATTCGTAAAGTAATTTCAGATTGTCAATAATTTAAATAGATTTGAGACAATCAGAGTGAATTTCTTGACATAAAATAGTTTTTTTACAGCTTACATTATGAAAGATATTTGTTCACAGTTAATGGTTAAAGATCTGACGTTCAACGACAACCAAAAATGTCTTGAATCCAAAGGCATTCGAAGCATCTTCAATTGCTACTAGCAGAAATGGAGAATGCACGTTTTACGTAATTATCGTGTGACGATGTTCTTTCATTACCAAACAAAATTACAGACAAAAAGAACTGTAGGTTGTAAACCATCAGTCGAGCAAGATTAATGCAACTAGTTGATCTGAACCTCTTTTTAACGAAAGTGATATATTATCTGTTTTTCAGTACAATTAGATTTTATTTGTTATGAACAAGAAAAAATTTTTTTTGAGTACTGACGACGTTTACAATAATTTTCTCGTAATATATATAGACAAAAAATATGTATTCCGAATGACGTTTTTTTGCACTTTTTTAGCCTGCGATCAGGGATGTAAATATTATTTTTTAACATTTAGACCGAACGCTAGACGTCACTACTTTGCAATACCAGAAAATAGATAAAATACAGTTTTACAATTACATCTTATTACAGTTTAAAAATGCAAACCTATTTGTAGTTATATACGTATAAAGCTTTAAGTTTATTGTGAAGAAAATCAATCTATTTCCACCTCTCATAAAACAAAACAAAGTTGATAATATTCTATGAATGTATATATAATGTTATTTGATAAGGCCGTAAATACCTTTTGTAATCTTGATAGGTTTACGAAAAAAAATAAATAAAGAGAGGCATTGAAATCTTTCAATGCACATTTGACATAAAAGCAACAAAAATTTGAGCTCTAAAGCTCTAGTAAAACTTTTATAATTCTAAAAATACTATTACAATAATATAACTACTCAGACATTAGATGTTGGGGAAGAATATATGACGGGCTTATCGTTTGGTAATAAATAGTGTTGTGCGTTCAGTTCGTAATCTTCAAGATTGTTATATTGACTTGTAATTAGTTTATAATTAAAATCGAAGTTGTTTTTATTTATTAAAAAAATATTCATGAACATGTTATAGTGCATCATCATTGGTCGTTTTCCTTTTTTTTACTCATACAATTTTCGAGTCTAAAGTAGAATAAAGTATCTATGTTAAATTATAGTCATACATCAGAAAAAGTAAATCCCAACTGTTTCAACCTTTTATATTATCTAAAATAATTAATATAAAATTTTGAATACATTTTAAGATGGACGAGAAGAAAAGTTGGCGAAATTTAGATTGGAATGGAATGCTCAATATCTGTACATGTTTAGTATATGAGAATAATTTGTTATAGATTTGTATAAAGCCATGTAAATAGTTTACGCGCGGTGATTTTGTTAATGAAACGACGTTGTGTTTTGGACAGTTGGATTGCGATAAGTTACGAAACGTCATTTATTCTGGCGTTTTCATGATAATCGGTTCTGCTATGAATTAAAAAAAATTAATTAAGACAAAAAAAATACATCAACGCTAATTCCTCTGGTTCTTGCTGAAATCGTAATGCTTATTGGTTATAAATTTTATTATTAATATATTCTCATTTTATTATAACTATTATAACTATTATAAACTGGATAAAATAAAATGTATTTATATTTTTTATTCTAAATAGCTTAGTTCACCTTATTGAAAAACCACTTATTACATTAACAATAAGTTAAGAGAATATATTATGAAATTGAACATTACACTCGGATCATAATTTATTTTATTATTTATTGTTTTGTGTACTTACACCACAATCTTCGAGTATATTTTTATTTTTCCACTCATAAGAAGGCAGACATTTTTTAACTAGCGAAATTATTTCTAAAATATTTTTTCCTTGATTTTACTATAACAATTATTATCTTGAAAATTAAGCAGTCAATTATCACTGCAAACTTCTAGCCCAACATGATATTTTTCAAACTATATTAATTTTTGTAAAAAAATTAAACAAACCGCACTTTCATTGGCGTAAAATTCTTGGAGAATACTCTTTCTTCCGTAAAACTCATTCAATTACGTTATATAAAAAAACAAATCTCTCTCCTAGTTATAGTAGACCACAAAAAAAAAGAAAAAAAAAGAGCTCAAGCGAAATTGCTCGACGAATTCGAAAGGAAGCCAGTGGCGCGTGCTGCAGATGAAGCTAACGCGATGAGTGGCCGCACGTGACGACACAATCCCATCTCGACATTTAGCGGCGCTCTCTCTCCTCTCCTCCGAGCTATGTAGTCCGAGCCCCTTTTCATTCCACGTCAATATGCTTTCTCTTTTTCCTCATTCTCGTAATTATTCGACTCTTGCCTCTTGCAAGTTCTGTTTCACTTTAGTTGGTTAATTGAAAGTTTAATAATTTATACGATCTTTCTTTTCGTTGCTTCGTTTATATTAACTCTGTCGATATGATGTGCATATTTTATTTTATTACTTTTTTTTTTGAACAGCTACAAATAACAAAAAAAAAACATAAAATAAAAGGAAAATAAAAACGAAAAATAAGAAGAAACGTCGACAACAATTTGTTTTAAAGTGAAATTAATTTTGGCTTTTTTCAGCAATACTTGAAAAATTCTTTTAACTGGGCGAACATCATAGAGGAACAGCGCGAATGCAGTGCCAAAAAAAAATTCAACATGAGCGCATGAGTTACAATGCTTCGTTAGATACACACATTCCACTTAAATTGAAATAGTTCACTGCTGCTTTCATTTCGGAATTACAATACAAACAGCGCGCGAAGTTTTGCTCTAGCGTCGGCAACGCATTATCAGTTCAGCGCCGATTCAGCGCATTTTTGATATTCTACACAAATCTATAATCTAGGCCTACTAACGGGTATGCAGATGCCGCGTAATCCAAAAAAGGAACACTCCGATGAAAACTTCACTAGGAAATTGCCTTCTTAAATCCTCCTCTGGTAATAAAAGGCTTAAGAGCTATAAGTGCATAGTACATGCGTAATAGTCTTTTTGCCGTCAAACTTGGAACGTTTAAGGGAAAAGAAAATTTTCTTTGAATTGCGCGTTGAACTTTTGTCACGATAATTAAGAAAATATCAGCGTATTTCGTGAGCGCAAGTCTACATGGGTGAAAATCTCAACGTGAAGAGCTGAAAACGAAGAGGAGATAAAAAGAGAGAGAGAGAAAGAAAATCACTCAGCAGGGGGAGGGGAGGGGATGAATATCGACGGCCGAGGCTCTGGAAATTGCGAAACAGAAAAGCGTGTACATAGAGGCAGAGAATTGAGACAATGGGTCTTTGAAATGGCTTCTTCTGTTCTACCTCTTTATCTGACGCGGCTCGCGCAAGATGTCCCTCTGGGAAAAATAGATTTTTGTTAATTTATTTTTTTTTTTTTTTCACAACTGAGCGTTCTCTTATCTTTTAATTGTTGTTTCCATTTATTTTTTTCTTCCCCTCTGTTACTCATATACGGTTTGCCACAATTTTTCTTTTCACACAAAAGGCTTACGTAATGATTTCAATACTCGAATCGAGAGCAACCTTGTTCAGAGTTCGGTCGCTAGTTTTTTCAAGAAAATTTATTTGAGATCCAATGGGCCCCCCTCGGTCCTCTCTCACTCCTCTCAGGGAGAAGCGAAGAATGAATATAATTTCTGAATTATTTTGCTCCTATTTAATATGCATGAGCTTTGCAGCGTGTACATAGGGTGGCAAAAGTAGCGCTACACCCTCGCGCCGAAAAGATTTTCGACGATTCGTCTCAGCCGCTCACAAACGAATCGAGAAGAGTCGATCGCAGTCTCGGATCGCGCTTCATCGCAGGGGCGAGACAATCCGCTCTGGCATTCGGCAAAATCGGCTAATCCAAGAAACCAACAATGCGGCGTCGCGCGCACAGATGCACACGCGAGTAAATGCTCGAGCGCAAAATCGATCGCGCGACATAGCAGAGCCGAGAGGCGGCGGCGGCGGCGGCGGCGGCAAAGGCTCATCAATTATTGTGGCTGCCGCTCTGGAGAATGGAGTTAGCAGGCCGCGACCACTTGGCGAAGTGTGTATAACTCCATTTATTAGCGGAAGCTCGCGTCCACGCGCCTCTATACCTTCCCCTTCCACATCCGTGTGTTCGGACAAAACCTACAGGCTTCGCGGACTCGCGTGTGCTTGCATCCAAGCGTCGTAAACTCGATCGATTGACGGAGATGCCTCTTGCATCTTGTACCCTCGACCGAAGTAGTAATTTGAACTGCTGAAATCGACAATTTTCGTTCGACTGTATGAATTATTTAAGAACGATCCCAATGGAAACCTGTCGGATGAACCCACCTTACGATCCCGTGACAAATGGCCATAGTCTCGTCGCCATTCACTCGTGCGAAAGTCAACCGATTATTTTGCCCATTGGTCGTCGTCAAGAAAGCCCTTTCCTCGTTTCATTCTCGGCAAATTTTCACATGGACGTAAAGGAGTCGGTGAGCGGGCGAAAAGGGGGTGGAAAAAAAAGCTGAGGTTGGAAAGACGCGCGACGCCGAACAAGCGAAATTTATCGAGTGGAATACCGTCTTCCCGCGTACGATTCCAAAGATCCTATATGTCTTCTTTTCTACGTTTCGTGGTAGGAGTACCGCGCGCGTTGCTTTTGTTCGTTTTATGCTCAAGATCACTCGATTCGGCCAGATAATTGTGTGTTTTGAGAGAAAAGAATTTCGTTATTCCGTTTTTGAGCAAGCGAAAATGGAAACGTGCATTATATCGCTATTTTCGTACTCACGAATCGGCGAAACTTTTTGAAGCTTCGCTAGTTTCGCCGCCCTTCTCTCTTCCCCCGCGAAACAAGTAATTTCAGGCAGAGATATTTCGTATAATTTGTAATTAAAACTTTTCGGGATGCAGGCATCGTAACGGCTGTTTCAGAAAATCGCGTCAATCCTTTTTCACTTACTCTCGACTTAACAAGCTTTATCCATTTATTTGGGTATAACAGCATTATCGTTGTCGTACGAAGCAAAGCTTCGAAGATCCGTATCGTATATTTAGTTCCGTTGGTGGATAGATCGCAACTTTTTGACCGTTTTAAAGTTAGATATTTTTCCGGGAAAGATGATCTACGAAAGATAATTAAATTGTTCGGAATACCGACAGTTTATAGTTCGACGTGCAATGCAATCGTCCAATGGATATTACGTAATTGTATTCATTGATCGATCAGGCGTCGGCAGCTCGAAGGGGAAAATCTGGCAAAAACAGATCTCGTGCAGTTAGCCTCATAGGGTATAAAAACGAGAGGAAGCGTAGGGCAGCAAGCATATTTTCGCTGGAAGTTTACTTGGGGCAAGAAAGAGAAGGTGGGGGGGGGGCGAAAAAAGGCGAACGTGACGAATGCAGCAGCTAGGGAACTTAATTGATTAGCCGCGGCGAATTCGCCCCTCCGGCAAGGCGCGCAGCTCGAACTTTATCGAGTGCAATTCGGGCCGCGCCGAAGGAGGCTATCATGGCGTGGAATCAATTTGAAAACAAGTGGCGGGCGGCGCGCTGCTGCACGGGATATGATCGCGGAAAGTCCGACGGGAGTTATAACGTATTTTATTAAAGACTTTTATTGCCTTCGCCTCGCGCGGCCTATCGGAGATTTTACGATACGAGCGGCTCTCCGAATGGCCGATTCAATTATGTCGCCAGCGTTAATTTATCCCTCGTTCGCGAGCCCGTGGAATAGCGCGCGATTGAGATTTTTGCCGCCTCGGCGACGAAAAAGCCAGTTGCGACGCGCGGTGCGGTGGCTGCAGTCAAATTAAGTTCGAGCTTGAATTACAATGGTCACGTGAGAACCGTAAGGTCGCGAGGTACGCGCGAACGTGCGAGTGATCGATCGCGCGCTCGCGCGACAATTAGCATACGTTTTTGGCTTGGGACGCGCGGGAAATCGTCGCTTCGAGCGAAAGGAAGAGTCCAGCGCCACGGCAGCTTGCGGATCGAACTCGAGGTGATTATACGGCGATCGTCGTAAATTTCTTTTTCTTTTTTTTTCTTTTCTTTCGAGCGAGCGTGCAACCGAGAAGGGAGCGACGTGGGCTAGCGAAAGAGAGACGGCGAGGAAGAGAAAAGGAAAGGGGCAAAGTCAGAAGAATCCATGACCCGCGCGAAAGTGCTCCCCGTGCCGACTGTTGCTGCTGCTGCCAGAATAATCGATTCCCTGCCCCGAGCGCGCCGCGCTACTCTATAGCCGCGCTCGCGACGCTCATGCGCCGACGTGTTTTTCCAGCTTGTATACCCGTTTTTCCTTCCCTCGTCAGTGTTCTCTCTCTCTCTCTCTCTCTCTCTCTCTCTTGATGCGAATGCTACAGTAGTAGACTTATTTAGATAGGAGGATAAAATTGATACGGTTGATTTCGATTGATACATGCACAGGCTGCCCAGTCCGACTTTTATTCGACCCTTGATTTATCTCCGGCTTCGCTCTACGCTCATCCCCTTCCTTCCCTTGTATTTACGAACGCGCGTTACACCAGGCTCGACGCACTCTCCGATTCCGTTTGCCCTGTTTGACTGACGGCCGCTACGCGTTATGCGCTCCAGGCCAAATAAACTCGTCCGCTCTCGGCGAGCGAATTGCGCTTCGCGCTCGAAACAACGCCTCCGCCCCGCGCGACCATCGCGGCCGTCGTCGACGGGCCCGAGCGTCGCGATTCGATTGTGGCACGCGACGAGAATCCTGGCCGCTCGGGCCCCGCCGTGGCGCGCCTTCAATAAACGAACGAAAGCCTATTTGCGAGCTCGCTTACGCGATGAGTCCGAGGGCATTAACTATGGCAGCGCAACTAAGTCAGACTAGGCTTATTAATGCTGGCACTCATTTTTTGTCTCTATGCTGCGACGCTCATGCGGCAACAGAGGAGAGAGAGCTGTTAATGTGCTTTGAGCGCATTATTTACGCGATAGCCCGTGTTCGCGAGAGCTCGCGCTCGCGCGCAATTTAATAGCTGATAATATCGATAAAAGATTAAATTACCGTTGCCTCTCCCCCGCCGCGTGTCGCGCTAATTAATGCGGCGGCTCGCACAGGCGTTATATCGAGCGCGGGGCCTTTTCATTTTCTCTCTCTCTCTCTCTCTCTTTTTTTTTCCTTCGATTACTCGCGCGATCTCTCCAGTTTTTATTGATTGAGCAATAAAAGCGCATCGCGGATGTCTATTATTCAGCTGTCGCCGAGGGCTCGCGCTTGAAAATTTAATTCAGCTCGTTTCGGAAGGAGGAGAGCGACGGACTGACTAAACCCCCCAAAATTTTCTCGGAGCATTAGCATTCCAATTAGGACAATTATTAAGGGAGGCCGTGTTGAGCTCGGAGTTGTCGCAAAGGAATCGGAATTCAATTCGAAAAAGAAAAAGAAAAACTTCATTGGTCGAAATTCAATTGGCTACGGCGGCGCCGTGCTAGCTGGCAAGCGCGCGTCTCAGCCGAAGCGACGCGCGAACAAGTAGAAGTAACTCCGTAATTAAATATTAAATGCGCGTGATGTAATTTCACAGACGCGAGAATAAGGGAGCGAGCCGACAGTTTCTCGTGCTTGCTGTACTCTCTATCTCCCATGGCTTTCTCACTGCTTAACGAATCTCTACGTTACTTTTCTTGTCTCCGCGCTGCACTCGAGCAAGCGCTTCGTTATTATTTCTTCATCCTGCATCCGCAATTATTGCCCGATGCCTTTTACCGAAGTATAGGATTTCTCAGTTATTACCAACGACTGAATTATCAGTTGAATCACCGTTCAAATAAATCATAACTGACATAGCAAATCGCTGTGAACATAGAGTTTTAAGTGTACGTACAATCAAAGTCCTCGCAGACGACAAAAATATTAAATAAATTGCTGACATCTCATCGCCACAAGGCATCGTGTAACTCAGCCTTACGGCACCTCAAAGAACAGATCATCATCTCCGTCTTATAAAAAAAAAGAAAAAAAAAAACGAGGCAGAAAGAGAAGATGACGCGAAAAAGCAGATGAAAAAGATCCTCAGCTCGGCTTTCACGTGCGCGAAGGATAAAAAGACGACGGCAGGCGGGTGGGAAGTAGGCAATGAAAGATGCGCCCGTCGTCGGTGGGAGAGCGCGTACGAGTAAATCGCGACACGACGGCGATAATTCTTGGGCCCCGCTCTCGAGCTCCTCCACGCTGATTGCCGATATTGTGCTGTGCATGCCGAGGCCTTCCGCCTCTCCGCGGCGAGATGTCGTCGACTTTCGGGCGAATCCGAAAGTATTTCGGATATGGAGTTCCGCGGCGAAGATGCCTTCCGCGTTCGCCGTGCGGCTGTTGACATACTCAGCAGTCATAGTTATTTCTTCCTGAAAGCGTCCTTTACGAGTGGCTCGTTCGTACACCATTACAAAGAGCTTTTAATGTACACTTTTATATCGTCCTTTTTCATGCTCATGCAAGACACTTTCTCTCTTCATCTTTCTTGTCGTCGATGCTTGCGATGCACGCACTATATATATCTGAATTCAGAAGCTATCCCAGCTTAATTGTCATTTCGAGTTTCGTACGAGGGTCTCTCGCGCAACTTTTCGCTATTCGTGCAAAGCTCAAAGACAACTTGCTTCATCCTCGCGCAATCGACGTTTTAAGTAATTAGCAATTTGCCTTGTCGACTTGATTGATGTAACAACGTGGCGACTGCACGTAGCTCGCCGTCGAAAAGAAATGCAGCAGGAAGTGAAATTGGATTTATGTCGCGTTCTGCGTGCGATTCATTTGGTTCGCGTAGCGCAAGACTGAAAATCCGAAATGGCCAATGACTTTGCGCTCAATCCGTCGCGCGAAAACGTTTGTCATCGGCCAAAAGCTCAGCGAAGCAATGAATTATTCGCTCGCGCGAAACGATCGCGCGAACGACAGCGTGGAAATTCATTTTTGGGGCCTGGCAAAACACGTAACCATCAATGGTACATGGATGTATATTGGAAAAGATAGAGAAGGAGAATAATGTAGAAGAAAGGGATCATGACCCGGGACAAAATTTTATCACCCATAAAAGCCTACACGCGGCTTCAATCCCTTTCCCTCCCCCCGCCCCCTTCCTCCTTTAAGACTTGGTGCGATGTGCAGCGTCGCGCGCCATAAAGCAGCCAGCGGCGTATCTCTCTGCGCTCTAGCCTCGGCCAAAAAGCGCGCTCGTAAAGGAGCCATCGCGCGTGCCGATGCAGCCGCTCATAATGCAGACAGACCTAGAGAGAGAGCGAGAGAGCGAGAGAGGTATGGGTGGGGTGCGCTCGCCCGGGCGGGGACGCTGGAAGATGGCGTCGGCGGTACAGCGGCGGTGGCGATGGACCTCGCGCGCGCAGCCTCCCCACCCCTCCTCAAGAAAGCGAGAGGACAGACCGGCGCACGATTTTCTCGCTGACGAGCTCGAGCGCCGAGAGAACGTAAGCGGCCCGGAATCGCCGCGGCGGCTCGGCGTCGGGGGAAGGGAACGAACGGGCGAAGCTAAAGAAACGAGGGAATAAAGTCGAGAAGCGGCGCGGCGTCCAAATCGGACGAGTAGAGGAGTGGCGCTTTGGTCAGGCGCGCCATCGGAGCAGCAGTTCGACGAGATGTGTTCGTAGAACCGCGAGGTTCGCGAGCCTTCGGGGTGTACAGCGCGGCAGATCAGCGCAGCAGACTGACAGCGGAGAGAGGAGAGAAGCGCCCCGGCGGAATCTTGTAGCGGCGGCTCGGGCGCGCACACGCAGCCTCCGCGAGAGCCGCGTAACGCGCAAGCTCGTCTCTCGCGCGATCGCCGCCGCCACCGCCGCTGCCGCCATCCTTGCCCCGAGGGTACCACTCTCTCTCTCTCTCTCGCTCTTTCGCTCGCTGGTGTCGCCAGAGAGGAGGGAGGGCGCCGCGCGCAGTTGTGCCCCGTGCGTGCATCGTGTGTGGATCAGTTCAGGCCGACGAGGCACCGTCGCACTGCTCTCTTCGTGTTTGTGTGCCTTCTCCTATATTTTTTGCTCTATCCTCCTCGCTTGTGTGTTGCTCTCGTCCTTTCATCGTCGATTCACAAGATCAAATCGTGTCCCCTTCGCTTGCAACGGGAAAAATCCCTTCTCCGGCAGTTGGCTTTCCGAGTGCAACGAACAAGTCGACTTGCCCGCGGTCCCATCGATCTTGAGTTTCGACGTTCGCCAGTGCACGATCTGAAGCTTGCTCGCGCGCGCTCTCGGTGCGTTCGGAGGAGGAGGAGCAGTTGTGGTCGACGCGCGCACGCAAGAACCATTGCATCTTTTCCCTCTTCTTCTTCCTCTCTCTCTCTCTCTCTCTCTCTCTCTCTCTCTCTCCCCCTCTTGTATGGTCCACACCTTGTTTTAGTAGTTAAATAATAGAAATTTGCGATCGTTCAAGTGCAACGACAAATGTAGTGACGATGATGACAATGGCGATGGCAATGATCGTCGGACTCATTCGGATTAAAAGCTGACCAATCTCGTCCGAGCATTATGCATTTTTAAAAGATCAATGAGCTCGAAACGTTGCCGCTTCATCGATGTCGACCGTGGCATGAGACAATTGGTGCGACGGTCTGGATCAATCGAGAAGAGCGAAAAACGGGACGGCAGTGCGAAATTGCGATCTTTTGCGCTCACCTCGTGATCACTTCACGCGAGAAGCCCGAGAGCGAGTGCGAAAGAAAGTAGGGCTAGGTCGTCTCTGGCGGCGAGACGAAAGATGGATTCGTCCGAGTAAGTCGAGAGGCCACTCGTCTCTCTTTCTCTCTCTCTCTCTCTCTCTTTCTCTCCGATACGTCCGCGCTCTCGCGGAACACGACAGTCAGACGCGGGACAAGATAGAGTAGTGCTTTTGTCTGACAATAGCAGGAGAGAATAAACGGGGTAGAATCTCATCTGGTTCTGGCACGGAGCGTGAGAGAAAGAGAGAGAGAGAGAGAGAGAAAGAGAGAGAGAGAGAGAGAGAGAGAGAGAGAGAGAGGTGGGAAGGTGTGTATGCGCGCGCGTGGGAGTGAGAGCAGCGCGATCGGATCGTCCCCGAGAGCGCGAGAAGAGAGGGAGAAGAGGGAGAGGCGACGGGCAGTGTCGCGTTCGCGGGACCACGGGTGATTCCACTTGCACATAACCTCACTTTTTTCTCTACCCCCCCTCCTCCCCGTCTCTACCCTAACTCTTTTCCTTTTTCTCCCATTCTCTCTCTCTGGCTTCATCGGCTTCGCTGCCACCCTGCCTCTAGCCAACTGACGGCGTCGCGCGCGCACGCACGCGAGCGCGCATCCTCGATCGCGACGGGGCCTCGCGCTCGCGGACCCGCGGACGGACGGGGGATCCCGGTGCTCCAATTGCGTAACGTTTTTGCAGGACGTAAGGGCAGCCGTGTGCGCGTACGTGGCGAGCAGCAGTAGCAGCAGCGACGTCGCTCGGCCCCGTCTGTACGCGCGCTAGGCGTATATATGCGCATCGCGAGTTGCCTGGTGCGTGTGTCAGAGCCAGTGACGACAAGCGTGAACCATAAAACGGCTACTGGCGCGAGGTGATAGCGGATAAGCCAGCAAGACACAGGGGAGCAGTGGCGCAGCTGCAAAAAGGAAGAGAGACAGTCATTGGCTGGGCCTGCTCCGCTCGCGATCCTCCGTCGTCGAGGGGTGTGTCGAATCATCAGCAGCAGTAGCGGCGGCGGCGGCGGCGGCGGCGGCAGCTGCTGCAGTGAAGCTAGCATCAGCTAGGCAGCCCCGGCGGAGTGCTCCTCGGCGCGGCCGTGTGCGGTCTCCGTCAGTCTCGAAAGTGGTTCTTTTGTGCGGTGGAGTGGCGTCGTTGCGGCTGCCGAGAGCGAGATCGGCAAAAGTGTGCGCGGCAGTGCAGCCAGTGGCCGCTGCGCGTAAGCCCGGGCAAGTGCGACGAGAGTGCGAGGAAGGAGGCAGCCAAGGCGCACCGAGACCGAGCCAGCTACTGGGGCAGTGGTAGTAGTGGCGCCAAGCAGCAGGTGACGGTGGAGTGGCGCAGGCAGAGCGGCGCTCGGCGTCAGGATGCAGCATGAACCTCGTTGCCCTGGCCTGCGAGCTGACGAGCCGCCTCGGCAGGGGGACTGCTGCGCGCTGCCGTGGAACAAGACAGCGACAAAAGCCAAGGAGCGGCCAGCCGCGGCAGCAGCGACTCATCGCCGTCGTCGCCGTGCCACCGACGAGCCGCCGCCGCCGCCGCCGCCGCCACCGCCGCCACGCGGGCCCCGGGTTCGCCACCTCAGCGCGGCTGCACCCAAGGCGCCAACATCCCCACACAGCCGCCCAGGCCGCAGCGGCAACCTCCTCGGCACTCGGTACTCCACGAGCCCTCGCATCATCGACGGGGCGCGCGCCGATCTCGCCGACCTTCAGGTCAGTACGCCCGCTCGTCGCTGCTTGCTTGCGTCTTCGTTTCGTACGGCGACGGAAATACAAGAAACAGCGCTCGAGGCTCGCCAATACGCGGCGCGCCCAAACTTCGCGCGACTCTCATTTCGGTCATTGCCGAAGCCTCCGTGCTCGACAATTTTATTTTTCGCCGCCGTATCCTCGGCCAATCGAACGCGAGTGCTGCGCGACTCGTTACGACCCATTATTTGATCAAGGCTTGGCTATGGACAACAAAAGATCAATCGGCGTTCAGTGAAATGCGACGCTGGATATACTCGTCGCGAGGCTTGGTTCGGTGCATCACAAGCTCGGCAGAAGCTAGCTTTGCACATCATCGACCGCTCGGAAAATTCCATTCGAATTTCGAGCCAGCCACGCGTGCGCGCGGTGCAATCTTATTTTGCGCTCATTTGGGCTATCATGATTGATTGAGTTGCATTCTGCATTATCCACTGCAATTTATGAACGAAGGAAGTCAGCGGTGATATGTCAAAAAAAAGGGTGCACTTGTGTGCAAGGCTAATTGCTTTTTTTATTGTGCGTAGAGATCGGTGAAATAAAAAAGTAATGTTATCCGTTAGGTAAATTTCAATCATGTGCATAAACTTATAAAGCATTGAGAAAAAAATAACATGTCGTTCCATTTAAAATATTATATATTCTAGTACAAAATGTATTAAAAATTGAACATTCTTAATGAATAACTGACTGAGAAATAAAAAAATTTCTCTTATATTTTTAGTAGACTGCGAGTTTTAAAATTATCTTCCATTACTACTAAGTAGATTATCCTTCAGTCGAGAGCTCAGATGAATGTTAACTTATTTATCTCAATCATGTATGCAATACTTTTTCTGATTTTGAGCTTTGATTATTTCTTGGAATCGCCAGGCGTTGATGTAGATATATAATTATCAAGTAGGATGAGCATCTACGTTGCGATTAATAAAGATAAAGTGTACGCACAGTCATGAACGTAGCGTAGAAAACACGTTAGACTGCTGGACCAAGGGACGTTCGCTGATAATTGCAGGTGCAGATCGCCGGAGTTCGCGGGCCGCCAGGCGTCTCGCCGCTGGCCGAGGATTGCAGCAGGGCTCGGGCAGCAAGGCAGGGGAACTTCTAAGAGCCCCGCTAACCCGGGCCTCGCCTCAATTGGGCAGCAGCAAATCCATCAGCTGGCGCTTCGGCCCGGGACGCTCTCGACAAGCGGGGCTGACGACCACTCGATCACCGAGCGAAAAAGCACGACGTCAGCAGCGTCACCGTCACTACTTGCATCGTTATCATTTGCACCGCCAACACCGTCATCATCATCGTCCCCCTTCCCACGCCGTATCGTCGACATCGCCAAGCTCTCCGAGGCGACCACAACAGCAGCAGCGGCAGCGCCGGCACCGGCGTCGCCTCGTCCAGGAGGTGATCAAGACCGGGCGACTCGAGCTTGCCACCAACGACAGCATCATCACCAGCGATGCGGCTCAGCTGCAGCAGCAGTGCACGAGGCAACAGCAGCGCCAACAGCACTCGCCTAGACCGTCGTCGCCCATGCGACTCGAGGCTCGTGCAGCAGCGAGCCGCCGAGGAGCCACGGGACCAGCAGCAGCAGCAGCAGCAGCAGCAGCAGCAGCGACGGCCACGAGTAGCAAGACTAAGCGGCGCGACTGGAGGGACGGCGGCGCCAACAGCCTCAGACGCTCAGTCACTGCCTTGGACGGGGGCTCGAGGACGCCTGCCGCTGCTCACAGCACTGCCTTCCGGAGGAGCAGCTCGTCGTCCCTGAGCCGCAAGTCGCCGCCTTGGCCGCTGCCGCCACCGCCGCCGCGACGCTACCGCCTCGTGCTCTACCTGCTGGCGACGCTGCTGCTGCTGCAGGCGCAGCCGGCGCGCCACTTGGCGCTGGCGGCCAAGGCTGCCGAGGGCAGCGACGGGCAGGCGCCGAGGAAGCGCCAGGCGCCACCGCCGCCGCGGCACCCGTACAACGAATACACCTGGGAGCTGAACCAGCTGAACCCGTGGCTGTCGGCGTGCGACCTGGCGGGACCGGCGCCCACCGACCTGCAGGGCAGCTGCCAGGGCCCGCACGACCAGCCGAGAGTCTGCCCGGGCGAGTGCAGGAGGCCGCGCAAGCAGCAGCGGTCCTTCGGGCCCGCGGAATTCGACGAGGTGATCGAGGCCTGGGCCCGCGTCGACAGGCTGGCTCGGGGCGACGGCGGCCCGGCTCCGAAACAGTGCCTTTTTTATCTCGAGGACGCGCACAAGGCGGCCGTCTGCCGGGAGGACTTCGGCCTTGCGGGCAACCGGGCCTATGCCTCGCCGCCCGAGAACCGCTTCTGGTTCTTGAGCGGCATCCGCCTCAAGCACTGCTGCGAGCACGCCGTCGTCAATGCCCTGTCGCCCGGCAGAGGCGGCACACTCGAGGCCGTACTCGCCGGTGGCGATGCCTGCGCACGCGTCCTCGACACCATACTGCAGGTCGATCTGCTTGCCGCTAGACTGCAATGCGAGTTCGAGGAGGTGCTCGTCCGCTACGACTGCGGACAGACCTACTCGGTCATCCACAACTGCACCCACTGCAAGGTCAGTCGCTAACTGCGCCCTCGACTTCGCTTTCCCTCGTTGCCGCCGGCCCGCGACCAACGGCACTCGCGCGCGGCCTTTTCTAGCCGTCCGGGGGCTTTGTTTATGCTCGACTCGCTCGGTCAAGAGAGGCCCGGCGCCTCTCTCGACGGTTTTTTTCCTCGACCGAGAGAGAGAGAGAGAGAGAGAAGACAATGCCAGTCGAGAGGCTCTCGCTCAAAGGGCTGAAACTTCATTGTGCCGGCATTGCGCTAGTGTTTTGGCGTGAAGGAGCGGCGGTTTAGTCCCAGCCAAATTGCCGCGGACTTTTGTCGATAATTGGCTGATAGAGAGCGAGAGAGAGAAAGGCGGAGGGGGTGGCTTGGCGTCTATCGGAACTCGTTGTTGCGCCGATAATCCCACGCTTATGGACAGTAGTCGCGAGCGAATCATTGATAATTGTTTTCCTCGGTCTCTGAATAAAAAAAAAATTAATCGCGTACGACTGATTATTTCGCGAGGTAACGACTAATTGGATTCGCTCTCGTTGACAAAAGAGAATAAAGGAAAGAAAACGAGTGTTTCTCTCTGTTATCGAAGCGAAGCTCTCCTTTGTAATCGATAAGTAGGTAATGACTTCCTTGACCTCGCCACAGTTTATCTTGAATAAGGAAGAAGGAAAAACGCACTACGGAGCGCCCCGAGCCACCATGGCGCCGGATCTTAATTACACTTGATTCGTCAAAGCACCATTTCGTCGCTGCGGAACAGAAAAAAATTAAGCTACGCATTGAGGCTCCTTCACTCGATTCTTTTTGAGGTCAAACGAGCATTTAATTTACCGAACGAATTTTAATTAAATGAAGCGTTCTTTCGCGAACAAACACTACGATAGACTCGACCTTAATCTTCTTGGATTTTCACTGTAACATTTTTTAGATAAAACTGAGATTTCCCGCATTCTTTTCCACTGAGCTTTCTTGAACGAAGAGTTTTCAATTTTCACGGGTTATTAATTGTCCGTGGTTTTGAAGTGGTAGATATGATTTGTAGCTGTCGCTCAGAGTTCAAAGTGATTCAAAAGCGCTTGTTAACTAGTTGAAAAACAGCCGCAATTGCTGCCGCGCCTTCATTCAATTTGAAGCTGAATTCCATGAATCTCGAGCGCTTGCTCGCACTAAAGTTGACTGAAATAAAAAAGAAAAAAAGAAAAAGGAAGAAAGAATGCAGTCTGCAAAGAACACGTTGGCGGGAAAAGTGGCAGCGTGTGCGCTAGGCTCGAAAGAGAGCGTGCACATCGTAAAAATAATTCGTAATTAAAGAGATAAAGGTACTCAGATACAATCCTTTCCCTATCCCCCTCTTTGGTTCTCTGTTTGTCCCCCTCTCTCTCTCTCTCTTCTCTCTCGCTCTCGCATTTAGGCGCTTGCGCCAGCTTCCGAAGCTGGTCTGACCCACATTCGTCGGGGGGTGCGCGACACCGTTTTTCTTGCCCACTTCGCGTATTTATGGCGCCACGCGTCCTTTTTTTTCTCCTCCCTCTGACTCGCGAGTTAGAAGAGGCAGGAAATTTCACTGTGAAATTCACTGAGAGCTAAATTATTTCTCCCGACATTATATTCTTTTATTTTTACAATTGAGTTCCACACAACTTTTTGCAATGAGAGGGAACTTGAAGAATGCGAAAAATATTTTTTCACTCCGTAGGATTGGTGAATTTCAATCCTCATTAGGTAGTACTAAAAATTTACAGTGGGGGTTCGTAATTTTCCGATCTGGAGCTTCTCCCAGTTCGCAATTTCTTTTCTCTTGCTAATGAGTTATCGAAGCTGTATTGCTTAACATTAATTTTTATGGTCGACGAGGGATTAACACTCGAACTACGGCCACAGAAAGGTATCGATCATTAATTACGGACTGCAGTATTTCGGTATTTAAAAGTAGAAAAGGAAAAAATGGTCTGACAATGCAATAATCAGAGGTGACCTAAAACTTTGGCAACGAATAGTCGAAACAAGTAAGAAAAAAAAATAAAGAGAAAGAAGGGCGACGAAAGTAAAAACCGCAAGCCTCAACACTGCTCATTGTGGCAGCATTGTTTCGGGCGCAATCGGGCCCACTCGATCTTTCTCTTTTTCGCTCCCCTCCCGTGGCCGTGTCTCACTATCTCTCTCTCTCTCTCTCTCTCTTCTCGCTTTGACAGGGATTTTTAGTCGGTCGCGGCTTGAGAGTCGCCTCGGGCGAAAAAATGCCTTGCGCTCGTGCGCTCGTACGTGCTTGAGTGGACGCTCTCGTTCTCGATGAGTCAGCTTACCTCGGCAGAGCTACGACGACGACGATCGTCCTCACACCGTGACTAATTAAATGTGCCGCTTTCTCCGCGAGAGAGAGCAAGAGCTTTCGGGCGCGCTCGCTCGCCCGATTTCGCAGCTACTTGTGACGTAATGTTTTCTGCCCTCTGCTCGCGGTGTACAGTAGGATCTCGATGAGCGTACCTGCCTACCAAAGAGGAAGTAGGTCGTCTTGGCCATCGCGCGAAACTGTAACTGGATTTTCGCACAGCGCGATGGACATTGAAGTGGGGAAAAAGTCGTCTGCGTATGAATAATTGACGTGTTCTATCGGAGCAACGTTGTAGATCAGGAGCTGCGTGTAACAGCTGAAGCCCGGAGCAACTTTTGCCGTGGGAGAGGGATGCGAAAATGCTAATACGCGCGGAAAGTCATACAACTTTGCGGTGAACTTTCTTGAATTAAATCCCGTTCGCGCTGGATAATGCGCCGAGTAATGATGGTATACACTACGAGACAGAGGGAGAGAGGGATGGAGAGGCTTTGCTGCTGCTGCCTTATATATGTATATACACGCTACCACGTTCATAAGTAGATAGGACTGTGCAATACTTCTCTATGATTTCGGTCGTGAATAATGATATTTTGTTTTGCGGCTTCCGCGTTACAGCTTGAATATCAATTTACGTTGTCGTCGAATTCTCTCGAGAGATTTTCAATTTGTAAGAACGACAATGGTCAGCGCTTTCTCGGTGTGCGTCCGACCGCACGTACTGCTGTACTACTGAAAAATTGGCAGACGCCTTTGCAGCGTAAGACATAATTGTCCGATAACGTAAACGCAATATCACGTAATACAACGTGATAAGGATATAACGCTAGAAATTATACGGATCACTGAATAACCGAAGCGTTTACAGTGCAATCAAACGGAATAAAGGTAGACGACGGCGGGCGTTAAGCAATCCGCACGTATCCGCTTTGCTCCGGCTCGGTAATATCGTTTTCTCTCTGCCAATATATATCGGGTTCACATTATAATTTTCTCCCGCGCGCGATGCGTTAGAATGTATGATGTTTCCCTCTCGCGAGTGTAAAGGTATCGAGCTGCAAGATGGATATAATGCGATTCCCTTGCCCCCCCCCCCCCCCCCCCAGCATTATCGTGGCTTCCGCGCGACAAGGACGATGACTTCATATTCTTTGTCGTCGCGGCGCGAGCGCGCGGATTTGTCGTTCTATCGGCTTTTCATGTGGTATAATGATTTAACTTCACACCCAATCCACCTTTTCTCTCTCGATCTCTCTCTTGTTCCTTATTTATGCAAGTCATCCATACTTATTTCGAAATCACTTTGCTCGATTGAAACTTTGTAACGACCGAGCGTACTTTCAAATGATCTTTAGTTCATTGATGAAATTCGCCGAGAAAAAAATATACATTTCAATGTTTTTCGAGGCGTTAATTATGCAAAGCTGCAATTTTGCATGTCCAACGTGGCTACTTGTATCAACGCGCGCTAAGAGGTGAGCGCTGAAACAGAATCTCTCTCGCTATTTCTCCATGCGAGCGAGCATATACACACCTGCATTAAAACGCCAGCTGCATGCGGGGAAGGTATTGCAGAGGAAAATCCTTAAAAAGGAGTCGTCCTCGGAACGTAAAGTGGGTACGAATTTTTCATTTCCACGTCGGCCGTATACACTCGTATATACACAAGCGCGCACGCGTGCGCGCAGAGTAAGGGAGGCGCCGCGAGGCAATGCTCCTCTCTCGCGCCCGGAGAGACTCAAAGGAATTCTTTCTCGTCTGAACGCTCGAGAAAGCGTGTCATTGTAAAGCGGCAAATCACGCGCTGGATCGCTTTTCGTATCCTGCGAAATTGCCACATTGCGGCGCTGGATAGGTCGTTTATGAACACTTCCTGTTTCATTGCGTGAGGATACTCTGTCGTTTGCGGATATACAAAAAAAATGAGAATACGTACAAGTTTTACGTAATTCCATGGATTTGTTAACTTTGATAAGCCGAGACGTCAGACTTTATTAGCACTGTAGTCGAGCATGAGGTAAACTTATCAAAAGAGCAAAGCCACCTACAAGGAATTGCGAAGCGTGCTATTCACCAGTAAATTAGAATGTCAATGCTCGAAAAGGGAGTTCTCTCGCTCGAGCGTCTGGCGCAGAAATAATAGTGCACGCGCGTCTTCTAGGCATAAGCTAATTGTTTAATTTGACTCGGGTGACTGACTCGCGCCCTGATTAAACCATCTTGTTAAATAAACGCGCCGGCCAAACTATGTTTTGAATAGGGAGGCGGAAGGTTGCGGTTAGAGAAATATCCGTCAACAGAGAATGCCTGAAGAAGTTTCCTGTAGGGTGATTAGCTAAATTCCAAGAGCTTCGGAATATGAAAGCTATATCGCATCTGCGCTGCTTGGCGTTGAATTCGTTTTGCTTGTAGTGCCGTCAGCGTTCGCATCTGCCAACTGCTCATTAGATGTAACTTGGTAAACAACAGGAATCGACTTTTTCCTTTTCTTTCTATTTAATTGTGACCCAGAAACGTTGTAGTGATTGAAAGTTGATTCAGCACTTTGCGAGAGAGAAAAAAAAATCTTCGCTCGAGTGCGCACAATTCCCTTCAAAAACGTAACTCGCCTTCTATAAAATCGAAAACTTACAGCTGTAAGACTTAATCAACTCAAGAGAATTGTTTGGGGAAGTCGA